TGCTGGGACTGGGTACCCAGCCTGGATGCAGGCACCCAGGGGTGATGGGGGCACCCAGGGGTGATGGGGGGCACCCAGGGGTGATGCTGGGACCGGGTACCCAGCCTGGATGCAGGCACCCAGGGGTGATGGGGGCACCCAGGGGTGATGGGGGCACCCAGGGGTGATGCTGGGACCAGGTACCCAGCCTGGATGCAGGCACCCAGGGGTGATGGAGGGACCAGGCACCCAACTGGGTGAAGGTACTCAGGGTGTTGAAGGCACCCTGGGGTGATGTGAGCACCTTGGGGCGATGGGGACACCCCGCACCCCTGGGAAGGGGCCGAGCTGAAGCGCAGCAGCTCAGGGGCCTTTGCAGAAGATGTGGGCCAAGAGCCGAGCCTGCTGCCACCGCTGTGACCGCCGGTTGTGCCACCTGCACCCGCAGGGCCAAAGGGCTTCACCCCAAGGGTTTGGGCAAAGCCCCCCACACGGGCCAGGGTCCCTTCCCCCGGCTGGGCAGCCCCTCCATTTCTTATAAACGCCTCTGGCGATGCTCGCCCGTGACACGGCAGCTCTGGGGCTTGTGGTTAAACCCCAGGGCTCCGGCTTTGACTCACACCGGATCCACGGCAGAGAGGGGCCTTTCGGCACCCACGGTTGGAAAGAAACGCTCACCCTGGCAGGAGTGCCGGGCGCTTCCTCGCAGCGCCGTTTCCTATAAACCCCGACGGGAGGGAGCCGGGGCCAGGCTGCCACCGCAGCCCCCCGAGCTGAGCCAAGGGATCTCCTGGAGCTGCGGGGATCCCTCCAGCATGGTTTGGGGTGGGGGAATCAGCCTGTGCACGCAGGTGATCCCCATGAGCGTACGGAGCAAAGTCGGAAGGAACGAGAAACACCCAGGGCAAGACACCAGCACAACCCTTACTAGACATCAGAGAATCCCCTTCAGGGTACTTGCAGCCAGGGACACCAGCTCTGGCTGTCACCGCTGTCCTCCCTGCTTGGAGCTGGCCCCAAACACCCGGCGATGGGGCAGGAGCATCCCTGGTCCCTGTCCCCACCCCGTGCCACAGGTCCCAGCTGCCAGAGAAAGCAGGACCTGAGCAGTGAGAATTGTTTCATTTTTCCCCTAAACGATAGAAACACTGAGAAAAGGGAAAAAAAAAAAAAAAAAGCAAAACCTGAAAGCCTGCTGGAAAAAGAAACTTTTCAACCGGCCCAAAATAAGAGGGGTTTTTTGCTGGGAAAAAAAAAAAAAAAAATTAAAACCCTAAAAAAAAACTAAAAGAAAGAAAGCTGCTGTATAGGAAACAGCGAGGTGTGACCCGCTGCGAGGCCGGGATGGGGACACTGGGGGACATGGGCACGGCGTCACGAGTGCTGTGGGTGTGGGGGGGCACAGCCCTGGGGTGGGGAGGGGGCTCCCCACACACGGGTGGCTCCGGGGGGGACAATGCCCTGTGCAGGTGTTGTGACATCCCTGGCGTTTTGGGGGGGCCAATTCCCCCGGGGATGATCCCGCTGCCCTCGGGACAGGCTGGAGGAGACAGACCCCAGCCCCTGGGGGTGTCCCGTCCCCCCCCCCCCCAAAAACCTCGCATGGCTGTGGGGGGACTGGCTCCTCCCTTGTCACCACAGCCAGGCATCCGCCTGACCCCCACCAAGAGCCCCCAAACCTTGATGTGGGTCCTCCCACCCCCTGTTGCCAGTGGGACCCCCCCCCGACCCCCAGGCACAGCCACCACCCCATCCCAGTCCCCACATGCTGCCGCAGGGAGGGGGAGATGCGATGCCTGTGGCAGTGGGGGGGTGTGTGTGTGTGCTCCTGGCTACCCTGTCCCCTGCCCTGAGCTGTGGGGACAGCGGGGGTCACCCCCCCTACACACCCACACCCCCCCCCCCCCCAAAAAAAATACCCTTGGGGCAGCTGCAGATGCGCTCCGGGGTGGGTTTGGGGACCAGGACCAGGTGGGGGGGTGCCATGCCTGGGTGACATCGTGGCACTCTGAGCCCTGAAGGTGGTCAGACAACCCCAGGGTGCATCACACACACACCCCCCCCCGCCCCGGGACCCCCCCAGTTCAACCTTGGGGGTGGGGGGGGGCAGGGGGGGGCGAGACCAAAACCACAACCCAGCTCTGCGGCTTACAGCTCCCTCCTGCGAGGTGCTGAGGAGGCGGCAGCACCCGGGGAGGGGGGGGATGAGGGGGGGTGGCGGGGGGTGAGAAGAAACGGGGCCACACACCCCACATTAACACACACACCCCCCCCCCCCCCTTCCTCACTGTGGCCCCACCGCCCGGTGTGCAGGGCAAGGGGGGGGGCTGCCAAGGGAGGGGGGGGGGGGGGGAGGGAAACTGAGGCACGGGGCTCCCGGGGGCGTGGGAGGTGTCGGTGGGGACCGGGTCCCTTTTGCAGTGGAGGGGGTGTGTGTGTGTGTGTGTCTCTCAGGGTTTTCCCACGCAGAGTGGGGGCGAGGTGGGGGTTCAATGTGGGGGGTACAGGGGTGTGTGTGCGGAGGGGGTGCTGTGCCCACGGTCAGCGACCTGCTCAGCAGTTCGGGCACCCAGCCTTGGCCACGCAAGCCCGGGGAGGGCCACCACCAGCCCTTTGTGTGTGTGTGTGTCGCCCCCCCCCCACCCCAGCACCACGCCCAGGGCAGCCCCCAGGCAGCGGCTTCGGGGGCAAACACCCCAAACTCGGGGTGCCGGCACCCCCAAACTCAGGCGAGCATCATGCGCTCGGGCTGGGGACACATCTGCCCCGGGGTGACACACGTCCCGCAGCTGCCTGGCTCCTCCTGCCTGGCCCAGGAGCTGGAGAGGGGTCGGTGTTTTTTTTTTTTTTGGGGGGGGGGCGGGGGTCCCCAGGTTCCCGGGGGGAGCCCAACAGCCTCTTGACTCAGCAGCAGCCGCCCCCGGAGGAAAGCGGGACTGAGTCGGTGGCGGGATGAGTAACGGCACCCGCCGTTTGACATTTATCACGTGATTTCAAAAAAAGAGAGAAAAGCCAAGGGGGGGAGAGTGGGTGGTGGGAGAGGGTGGGGGCCAGGGCACCCCCCTGCCCTCAGCTAGGCTCCCCCCCCCTCCACCCCCATCCCAGTGCATTTCCAGTCCAAACTGGTGGACGGGCAGAGAAGGAGCCCGGTCGCCCCCTTCGCCGCCCCAGGTGCGGTTCAGGCCTCGTCCCCAGGTGGGTGCAACCCCGCTTCCCCCCCCTCCTCAATTTGCTCTTTTTGGGACCCTTCCCTACAGCATCACATCCCCGCGGGGGGGGGTCACTGCTTCTCAGCGCCACCCCCCCCCCCCCTCCCCACGGGGTACAACCCCCTCGCTCCCTGCCACCCTGGTGCCCAGGCAGGGGGCCGGATCCTGCTCAGCCCTGGGGGCAGGGGCTGCTCTTCCTCCCCCTCCCCTGCCCGATGCAGAGATCAGCCTGCGATAACGCCCGCTGTGCCGCTGCCTCGCCGGCGGCGCGGAGCCTATCTCCTTCACACCATCGCCCCGCGGCAGCTGGGAACCCGCTCCGCACCCTGCTCGGGGGGTTGCGGCTCGGGGGGCTGGGATGGAGCCCCCACCTCCTCCTCCTCCTCCTCCTGGCAGCCTCCCCCGCTAGGCAGAGAGGCCGGAGAACGGCCACAACTCATCACATGGATGCTCCCTGCCGGAGACGGGGTAAGCGGCGGGTGGGATTTCTCATGAGCAGCCGAGTTTAAGGGGGCCTCAGCCCCGAGGTGATGCCCCTGCAACCCCCACAGGGTGCAAAACAATACGAGGACCCCGGGGGGGGGGTCGTCCCTGACTCTCACCCCCCCCCCCGGCAGGGAGGCTGTAGGCCCTACAATAACATGGAGGAGCGGGGCTCGGCGGTGCTGCTGGAGCAGCGGTACCTGTGGTGGGAGAGACGGGGCTTTCCCGTGCACAGGGCAGCCCCTTCCCCCAGGATAACCACCCCCACCCCTCCCGCACCCCCCCAGCCCCGCGGGGTGTCCCCCACCTCGCCCAGTTTAGGCGGGAGGAGCCGCAGCCCTTAACGCAGCTGATCAGGACGGAGGCGCAAAGCCCGATCCCCACCCGCTGCCAGGGATGCCCCGCGACCATCACCCCAGCATCGTGCCCCAAGGCACCCCCCCATCCCTTTGTGCCCCCCCCCCTTCCCCTCCCCAGGCCCTGCCCCCCCTCCCCGCTTGGCATTTTGCTTACCCAGCACCTCTCCGCCCGCCCAGCCCCGTCGCTTTGGGGGCCACACGCTCTCCCCCCCCCCCCCCAGCATGTCAGCTCCTACCGGGGTTCAGCGTAGCCCCTCTGCTCACCTCACCCAAATAATGGAGCCCGGGCTGCACCGGGGTCCTGTGCGGAGTTGGGGGGGGGGGGGGGGGCCCAATTATTTTATCCACCCTGGGGACGTTCAGCATCACCAGGGTGAGTGGCTCAGGGCCGTGCCACGAGCGCTGAGGGTGAGCCGAGCTCAGCACCTGTGATGGCATCATCACAACCACAGCCCCCCCCCCATGCCCACCCCACAGCCCCCCCAGACCTGGGACAAGCCTGGGGTGGCGCGGGGAGGGGGGGTGGGGGGTCATCCTCAGCTCCAAGGGGACCCGGAAGGCACTGATCCAGCTGCACGCCGGCGGTGGCATTGCGAGGCTGGTGACAACTTTTTGTTTGGTTTGTTTTTTGGTTTTGGTTTGGTTTGTTTTTTTTTTAGGTTTTTTGTTGTTGTTGTTGTTGTTTTTTTTTTTTTCTAATTGTCCCATTTCTTGTCACCTGCCAGGCCAGTAAACCTGAAACGTGTCACCGTGCCGGGAACGGGCACCCTGAACCCCGTCACCCCCGCGGCCGCCCCGCTGAGCCCCGACGACACGAGTTGGCTCCACCCGGGCTGGATGTGCCAGCACCAGGCTCATCCCCTGCCCCATCCCCAGCCCGGGGTGGGGGGGGCACCCACAGTGCGGCCCCCCACCTCACTCCCTCCCCTGGGGACCCAAAGAGAAGAAACACCTTTGTGCCTCCCACGGCTTTTCGGGCACTGGAAGGGTTTTATTAGAGTCGGTGGCGTTGGAGAGCATGGGTCCCTCCCCCCCGGGGGGGTCCCGGGGTAGTGGGGGGGGGCCACACCCAGCCGACCCCCTGCGGGTGCGTGGGGAGGAGGGTGGGGGGGTGCGCGCCGTGGCACAGGAGGGACATGCAGCGCAGAGCGGCTCGGCGGGGGGGACGGCGCTGTGGACCCCCCCTCTCCTGGCAGCTTTGAGGTAGATTGAACGTGGAGGGGGTGGGGGGGGGGGTGGGGAGAGGGATGGGGGGTGATGGGGTGGGGGGGCTCGGGGTGAGCAGCCACCTGCAGCCCCGGGGTAAAGCTGGGGGGACCCAGTGGGGCTGCTGGGGGGGCTGCGCTGTCCCCATGCCTGGTGGGGGGGGGGGGGGGGGGGCAAGGTCAGGGAGAGCCCCCAGGCCATGGAGCCCAGTGCAATTGGGGGGGAGGGTGGGGGGGTGTCCATGCTGCGCCTCGGGCTGTGGGGGTTCATTTCTGAGCAGCATCGTTGTGGGGAGGGGGGAGAAATTGGGCCGAGGGGGGGGTTTGGGGGGGCTTTTAATGTAAAAGAGTGGAAAGATGCTTGAACCGGTGGGACAAGGCGAGGGGGGACCAAGAACAAGCAGCTGCTCCCCCCTCCCCCTCCCCTTCCAACCCCCCCAAACCCAACTCTGACCCAAGGAGCTGGGGGAAGCGGCAGCCCCTTCCCTTCACCTGCTTCCTGGGGGGGGCCGGATCCAGGACCCGGCCCCCCCGAATCCTCCTGAGATCAAGCAGCAACACCCAAGGGCGCAGGTGACACCCATGGGCGCGGCGGGGTCCCCTCCAGCCGCCACCAAGGGGGGTGGCGTTATCCTGGGACCCCAATTAGAGCGGCGGATGCAGGGCCGGGGCGAGGCGGGAGCAGAGGAGCCCACTTAGGGGGGGCCGGGGGCTCCGGGGGGGGTGTGTGTGTGTGTGTGGGGTGGGGGGGCTCAGTCTTTCTGTAGCTACTGAAGACTTGGAGGTATTTCAGGAGCCGTGACGCTCCTCGTGTGTTGTCATGCAGCATCCAAAGATTGGGAAAGGGGGTGTGGGGGGTGTGTGTGTGTGTTTTGAGGTGGGGGGGGGGGGGGGCGGGGGGGGGGGGAGGGGGAAAAGGCTCAGATCTTGCTGTTTTCCAGGTGCGAGTCGATGTGTTTCACCAGGGCGTCGTCCGGGTAGCCGATGGGGAAGGCGAGCTGGCACAGCGGGCAGCTCCGCACCTCCGAGTCCACCGTCTCCAGCAGCAGCTGAAGGGGGGGGGGGGGCACAAGGTGGCACTGATGTGTGTGTGTGTGTGTGTGTCCCCCACCCTCATCACCACCCTCCTCCTCGCCGGCACCCTCCCACCGCTGCCCGCAGGCATGGGGAAACTGAGGCACGCTGCGGGGCGACCACCCTGCCTCTGTGTGTGTGTGTGTGTGGGGGGGGGGCTTCTCTTGCCTCTCCACCCCGCATCCCTGGGGGGGGGCGGGGATGTTTTGGGGAGGGGGGTGAAGTCCCACTTACGTTGATGGAGGGCCAGGACTGGGCGTGCTCTGCCCGGGCGTAGGCAGCGGCCGTCCGGCGCACGGCGTCGGCGTCGGGGACGGGGAAACCGGCGCAGAAGGAAGCGCAGCGGATGGCCCCCGCCTCGGGGCTGGGGGGGCTGGGGAGCGCCCACTCCTCTTCGTCCGATGACTGCTTCTCGAAGCGCACGTGCTCCTCGAAAGGCTCGCGGGCGCTCAGGGGGGACCCCGCGCCCCCCAGGTACACCTCGCCGTAGGGCCGGTGCTTGGGGAGCGTCGAGGCTTCGGGCTGGAGCCAGAGCGAGCGGCTCTGCTGGTGGTACAGGGCCACGTTGGTCACCTCCGAGTAGCTGCGGCGGCCCTGGAAGCCGGCTTTGATGTGACGGCTGGAGGGTTTGGCGTAACCCAGCTCCATCCTCTCACCGGGCAGCCGGTGCGGTGACACCGACGCCGGGGACGGGCACGGCGGCGGGGCTGGGGACCGGCGCTGCTGGGCGGGCGACTGGTTGGAAGGAGGCACCGGGGACCGACGTTGCTGGGCAGGGGATTGGCAAGGGCCGGGGGCCGGCGAGCGGCGTTGCTGGGCCGGCGACTGGCTGGGGGGTCCCGGCGAGCGCCGTTGCAAGGCTGGCGACTGGCACGGGGGGGCTGGCGGGCGCCCCGGCGGAGCGGGCGAGGGGCACTGCGGGGCGGGCGAGCGGCGTTGCTGGGCTGGGGAATGGCACTGGGACAGCGGGGAGTGGCGCTGGCCTGTGAAACAAAACGGGGAAGGGGCGGGGGGGAGAGGCACAGAAAAATGACACCACCCCCCACCACCCCCCCCCTCCATCAGCTCAGTGACACGGAAAATACCCCTCGTCACCCACGTTGCATCCCGGATGGATGGGGGGATGCTCCCCGGGTGGGATGCTCTTGGGGACATGCTCCCGGGGATGGACGATGACAGCCAGCGTGCTCTCCCCGTTTTTGGCGCCCCAGCCCTCTCCAGCTGTGGGGTGCAGACCCCCTAACCCTCCCCCCCCCCCAAGACCCCTCCTTACCGCTGTTGAGGCTCTTCTCCTGCAGCAGAGCGCGGAGGATCTGGCTCTGCAGGGAGCTGAGGTTCCTCAGGCGGCACAGCTCCTCCGTCAGCTCCGTGTAGGCCAGCGCCAGGTTCACCCTGCGGCAGGGACAAAGTGTCACCGCGGGGGGTGAGACATCCCCGATCCCCCCCAGCTGGGGAAGGGGGGGGCCCCCTGCCATGGGGGTGCCGTGGGAAGCAGTCAAACTTAGCCCCAATTCAGGTTTTTAACTCAAAAGGGAAACGCGGTGGCCGTGGATCGTACCCGTGGGCGCCGCGTGCATCGGGGAGCGGGGAGGGAGGTGGGTGCTGTGCTCATCCCCCCCCGGCTTTCGGAGGCCCTGACAAAGTCATCAATTTTCCCCAATTTCGGTGTCGCTTTTCAAAACCATATTCTCTGCGGTGATGCGAAGGGAGAAGCCGTCTCCCGAGGGCCCCCCGGGGCTGGGGGGCTCAGCGCATCCTCCGCGCCGCGCGCCGAGTTCAGCTGAGCCGTTGTGACACCCCGGGGACCCGGGAGACACCGGGCGTAACAGCAGCCGACAGGTCTGTCCCTGCCCGCCCTCCTGTCATCTCATCGGGGGGGGGGGAGGCGGGGAGGAAAAGAAGAAAAAGAAAAGAAAAAGAAAGAAAAGAAGAAAAAGAAAAAAAAAAAGAAAAAGAAGAAAAAGAAAAGAAGAAAAGGAAAAGAATAAAAGAAGAAAATGAAAAAAAAAAGAAAAATAAAAGAAGGAAAAAAGAAAAAAAAAGAACAAAAACTAAGAAGAAAAAAGATGGAAAAGAAGAAAATAGAGAAAAAAAAAGAAGTAGAAAATGAAGAAAATAGAAAAAGAAGAAAACAGAAAAAGAAGAAAAAGAATTGAGGGAAAAAAGAAAATAGAGAACAAATGAAGAAAATAAGAAAAAAAGTGAGAAAAAGAAAATAAAGTCAAAAAGCAAAAGACAAAAGAAGAAAATAGAAAAAGAAGAAAATAGAGACAAAAAGAAGAAATGAGAAAAAATAAGATAGAGAAACAGAGAAAAAGAAAATAAAGTGAAAAAGAAAAAGCCATTTCCTTGTCCGGGTCCCCATGTCACATCCCCAGAGTCCCCATGCCAGGGGGACACAGCGGTCCTGAGCCCCCCCGGCCACTCGCAGCCCCGTTGGCTCCCACCTCTCCTGCCTCAGTTTCCCCTCGGGGACCCATCACGAGCCCCCGGCTCCGAGCCCAGGACCCAGAGCAGAGCCAAAGCGGGGGGGTATGGGGGGTCCCCGTCTCCCCCAGCCCCACCGCTGGATTTCAGCCGCTCCCATGGGGGGGGGGGGGGCACCCCAGCTCCCCCAAAGTGATGCTGAGGTGCAGGGAGGAAGCGCCAAAACCGCAACGCAGGGGCGGAGGAGCGAGTGATGCCGGGGGGGGGGGGGGGGGGGGGCGGTTGTGTGTGTGTGGGGTGAATCGAGGCTGGGGGGTTGTGTGGGGGGGTGAGCAGTCCCTGGCCCCCACCCAGGGCACCCTGCCGGGCCCCCTGCCTGCACAGGGGGGAGCGCAGGGACCCTCCCGCAGCCTGCGGGGAGAGGCGGGGGGGGGGGGGGGTCCGCGAGGCTTTTGGGAAGGAAATATGGCAGAGGAGGGAAATGTGGGGGGCTCTTGGTGCGCCCGCCCTCCCCCCCCCCCCCCCCCCCCCCCAAAAAAAGCACTGTTTCAGGGCAAACTGTGGGGTTTTGATACGCAACTGCAGATAAGCCGTGAGAACAAAACAGCCACCGAAAACCCGGCCGCCCACGCCTGCCCGGCTGCCCCAAGCGCCGCGGAGCTGCGTGGCTGCTCTGGGGGGAGCAGCTGGAGCTGGCGGGACCCCGTGGGGCCCCCCCCGGCCCTGGTGGGATCCTGTGGGACCCCCCCCCCTCCATCACCGGCAGCGTGTCCCCAAATCGTCCCCCGGCAGAGATGCTGCAGCTGGATGGGGGGGGGGGGGATAGAGAGAGGGGCTGCCAAGCATGGCTTAGACATCCCCCCCCCCCCCTCAACCAGGACCCCCAAAGCGAGGGGTTGGGGACACATGGTGGGGCTGAGCGGCAACGTGCCCCCCTCCCCCCCCCCAAACCACCCCAGCCCCAGCTCAGGGCGGGGGGGAAGCGGCTCCCCCCCCTTCCTCCAGCAAATGAGACCCATCACCCCCCCGGCACAGTTGGTACCCAGAGAGATGCCAACCGCATCACATCCCGCCTGCTCCACCGCAGTGCTGCCCCCCTCCCCGTGCCCCCCCCCCCCCGGCCCTGGGTGGTCCCCAAAAACCTGGCGGGGGGGCGGGGTGGAGCACACCCACCCACCCCCCAGTATCTTTGTACCACCGGGACTGGGGCTTGGCCCCCACCCTCTGTGACAAAGTTAATCCACGGTGTGTGGGTGCTGGCCAGGGCACAGAGCTTCCCCCTGGGTGGGGGGACATCGGGGGGGGGGGGGGGGGGAGGGAAAGGAAGGGGTGACCGAATCACACCTGGTAAACAAAAAGCAGGCGAAGACTGAAATAAAAGCAGGAACCGCAGGCGTAGATGCCATCGCCGGGGGGAGCGTGGGCTGGGGGGGGGGGGTGTGGCGCCTGGCCCTACCCCAGCAGCCGCTTGGCCCCCCCCTTTGCTGGAGGAGCGGGGTGGGGGGAGCCAGGGAGGGGAGCAGGGGACAGACGGGGACGTCCCAGCACAGGCAGCGAAACATCGTTAGCAAAGGAGGCAACGAGCACGGCGGCAGCCCTGGCACGGGCACCCATGGGTGCAAGAGTCATTAACACCCCCCCCCCAAAATCCCACCAAAATGGTGTCAGCAGCTGCATAGCGAGAGAGCACAGAGCTGGTGAGGGGTGTGGGGGGGTGCTCCGACCCCCCCTGCACCCGACCCCCCCCAGATTTGCGCTGCGGTACCCCTGGGTGGCTGCGGGGAGATCCTGGGGATGGATCCTGCAAGGCAGCCCCCGGTCCTGTGGCTGCCCAGCACCCTCCGTGTCCCCCCCCCCCACCCCGTGTCCCCCACCCCTGCTCCCCCCCGGGCCTTTCCCTGCGATTTAGCTCCTGGCTTTTCCCGGCCCCCTCCCAAGGAAGCACAAGGGGGAATGGCTGGGACCTCAGAAAGTAGAAAAAAAAAAAAAAAAAACCAAACAAAAAACAAGAAAAGAAATAAAGCAACCAAAACAAAATTAAAGAAAAAAAAAAAAAAAAAAAAGAGGGGCCAGGGGGACCCCCACCCGCTCACATCGTGGCAACACGCTGACTAATGCGGCAAAAGCCAGGCAGAAAAGTCACCCAGAGATGGAAAGCGCTGATAAGGCACCTTTCACACCAAAAAAAAAAGTGGTGGAGAGGTGCAGGTTACGAAAAAAAGAGCTGTATTTAGAAGAAAAGACTGGGGAGGGAAGGCTGTGCCCGGGGAGGGGGGGAAGGTGCTCCCAGGCCTGGGGGTGAGGGGTGTGGAGCCAGCCGTGCCTCAGTTTCCCCCACTCCAACCTGAGGAAGTCAGGCTTAAAAACAAGGTGGGTTTGGGAAATATTAATACATATATTTGGATTTTTATTTCCCGGTGGGGACTGGGTAGTGTGGGTGGGGGGTCGGGGGGGGGCACGAGTGGGGGAGCTCAGCTCTCCCGGCCATGGCAGGGCTGAGCTTTGTGAAAAATAAAGGGAATGAACAGGGGGGAAGCGTGGGGAGGGTTATCGAGGGACCCCCCCCGCCCCCCAGGAGGTGCCATGGAGGGATGGGGCCCCCAGGGATACCAGCCGTGTCCCGTCCCCCCCCCCCCTCCCCGAGCCCTGCGTGCCGATTTACACTGAGGAGACAAAAAACAGCAAAAGCATCTGACAAGTTGGGAAAAAGGAGGGGGGAACCGCCCCCCCCCCCCCCCAAACACCCCGGCCCCTTCCCGGTGCCAGGCGAGTCCCCACGTGTCACCTTTCATCTGTCTACAGCTTGGCACGGGCTGCCAGCCCCGGTGTCACAGCCTGGGGGGGGGACACAGGGACAGGGGTGCCAAATCCCGCTCCTGCATCCCGGCAGCCCCCCCCCCCCCCCCCCCCCCCGCATGAGGACAGCGGCATAACGAGGCTGTTGCCTAATTAAACGGGTTACAAGCGGCTGCTTTGCACACCCTGGGGCCAGGATTGGGCTCGGGGAGGGTTAGGGGGTCCGGGCACAGCCACGCCGCCTCCCCCCATCTCTCGTCAACCCTCCCTGGATTTGGGGGTGTCTTGGCACAAACCCCCAAACCCGAGGTGCTCAGGTCCTGTCCCAGCCCCACGCGGTGCCCGGGGGTGCCCTGTTGAAGCCCCCCCCCCGAGAGCTCACAGCTGCAGGGAGGGGGAGGCCAGGAAGGGGCGCGAGGCCCGGGGGATGGACTCCTGGCACCGCACCGGCTCCGCACCCAGTTACACCATTACCAAAAAAAAAAAAAATTAAAAAATAATAAAAAAAAAAAAATTAAAATACACTGGCAGGGTTGGGTGCAGACCTGGGGTGCCCAGTGCTCCTGGTGCTGCCCGGTGCAGCCAGGCGGGTGTCCCAGAGCCTGGCACAGCTGGGTGCTGTGGTACAGCTGGGTGCCCGCACGGCACAACTGGGTGGCAAGGCTGGGTCCCCATGGCACGGCTGGGGGGCACAACTGGGTGCCAGTGGCACGGCTGGGGGGCACAACTGGGTGCCAGTGGCACGGCTGAGGGGCACAACTGGGTGCCAGTGGCACAGCTGAGGGGCACAACTGGGTGCCAGTGGCACGGCTGAGGGGCACAACTGGGTGCCAGTGGCACAGCTGAGGGGCACAACTGGGTGCCAGTGGCACAGCTGGGGGGCACAACTGGGTGCCAGTGGCACGGCTGGGGGGCACAACTGGGTGATGTGGCACGGCTGGGGGGCACAACTGGGTGCCAGTGGCACGGCTGGGGGGCACAACTGGGTGATGTGGCACGGCTGGGGGGCACAACTGGGTGCAATGGCACAACTGGGTCCCCACGGCACGGCTGGGTGGCACAGCTGGGTGCAATGGCTCAACTGGGTGCCGTGGCACGGCTGGGTGGCACAGCTGGGTGCCCGTGGCACAGCTGAGTGCCCGTGGCACGGCTGGGTGCCCAGGCCGGGTGCCGTGGCACGGTGTGGGCTCGCTGCTCACGGCAGCCACAAGCCGTCAGTGCCCTCTGGAGGCAGCGGCACACTCGCCGGCACCGCGCAGACTGTTTGGTGCCGGACACTGGCCTACGGTCACCCCACGCCCGGAGCCCAGTTCAACTCCAAACTCCCGGGGCGCAGGATCCCACCTGCCCGCAGCACTTCGGGGCGCGGAGGGGGGGGAGCCCCCAGGAACCCTGCCCAAAGGGAGGTCCTGTCCCCCCCAGGATGTGAAGCCCCGCGGTGCCCCAGCAGAGAGTCCCGCGTGTCCCCATCCCTCCCTGCCAGAGTGGGGACCCTCCCCACCCCCCAGTCCACCCCCTGCACTTACTGGTCATCGCCCACCTTCTTCACCCAGGCCATGTCCCGCTCCGACTGGTCCTGGGGAGAGCAGACATCCCGTCAGCACCCTGACCCCCACGCAGCGGGGATGGGGGGTGGTCCCCCGCGGTGGGACCCTGCCCGCTACCTGCTCCCGGGTGTCCTGCAGATGTTTCAGCTCCGCTTGCAGCCGCTCGCACTCGGCCTTGAGCTGCTCCTCGCGGTGCTGGGAACGTTGGTTTTCCTGCCGCGCCGCCTCCAGTTCGGCCTCCAGCCCCCGGCTCTGCCAGCCCCCCCGGCACGCTCCAGCACTGCGGGGCAGGGCACGGCTCAGCCCCCGGCACCGAGCCCCCGGGGAGGGTGGTGGGGTTGGGGTGGAGTTCCTGGGGGGGGGGGGGTGTGTTCTGTGGGGTGGGGAGGGGGGGCGGCTCACCATGGGTCAGGCCGGGGTTGGGGTGCAGGGCGAGGAAAGGCACCTCCTGGCCCGGCAGCGGGGTGCCCAGCCCGGGGAAGGTGCCACCGTCGCGCTGCCGCAGTTGCTGCTCCAGGCTCCGGATGCGGCTCAGGTGCGTCTCCACCAGCGCCCGCTGCCCGGGGAGGGGGGGGGGGGGGAGTGGGGTGGAAAAGGGCTGAGCCCCATACACACAGCACCCCCTCCCGGGGGTTCATCCTGCCCCCGTGCTCCCCCCACCCCCCCACCCCCCCCTTTTTTCCCCGGCAGACCCGGCACTCGGGGTCCCCGTGGAGCTGGTGGCCGTCGTGACCGGGTGGGGGGGGGGGGGGTTCCATCCCCAGCACATGGCCAGCTCAGAAGGGGGTGGCACGGCGGGGGTGGCCCCCGGGTTGGCAGAGGAAGCCGGGGGTGCCCCATTGACCCCAAGCATGTGGTGCTGAGATGGGGGGGGGGGGACACCCCAGGCACCGCGCCGGAGCCGGGAGCATCCCTCGGCGAGGTGGAACGGGGAAGAGATGGGGATAAACCTGAGCCACGTGCGTCACCCACCGCAACCCCCAACGTGGCCGTAACGGGGGCGAGCAGCCACGGGCCCCCCCGCCCCCCCCCTCCCAGCCCTGCGTCCCCACCGAATCCTGGCAGCGGCACTTGGCAGCGCCGGGGGGGGGGGGGGGGGGGGGGGCGTGGAGCAGCAATCTGCCTGTCACAGAGCGGGGAAGGGGACCCCGCCGTCCCCAGGCACCCGTCCCCGCTGGCACCCACCATCTCGCCCAGCTCGGTCTCCAGCTCAGCCTTCTCCACGCACAGCTTCTCGTAGGCCTGGATCATCTCCTCCAGCTGCTCCTCCCGCTCTTTGCTCTTCTGCAGCTACCGGGGGGAGGCAGGAGGGGGTGGGTGGGCAGCTCGGGGGGCCCCCCCCCCCCCCCCCAAGCCTCCCTCACCTCGTGCTGGAACTGGTTGAGCTGCTGCTGCAGCGACGCCTTCTCGCTCTTGAGCAGCGACGTCTCCTTGGCCTCGTAGAGGGAGAAGATGTGCTCCTCCCCGAACTCGCCGATCAGCGGGTACTGCGGCCAGGGGGCAGGGGCATCAGCGGGGACCCCCGGCCCCCCCTCGCCCCCCCCCCCCCACCCCTCCCCGGCCCCTCACCTTGACCTCGTACATCTTGAGCCGGCGCTTGAGCGTGGAGTTCTCCCTCTCCAGCCCCGTCAGCCGGTTCTTGATGTCGTCGTAGGCGGTGATGAGGGCGAAGTGGGAGGCCGAGCACATCTCGCCCGAGAGGTCGGTGTTGGGGCTGTCGAGCCAGTCGTCGTCCGGCCCCAGCGCCTCCTGCGTCAGGATGCTGATGTCGTCCTCGAACATGGAATCCATGTCCTGCCTGGGGGGGGGGTGGGGGGGGGAGCGGCGTGGATGGACAGACAGACAGCTGACGGTCACTCCGTGGCCTCACTCCCTGGGCGAAGCGGGGATGAACCCAGCCGGGAGCAGCCCGAAGCCCCCCTGGAGCAGGCTGAGCTGGGGGGGGGGGGCACTGGGTGCAGGATCCAGCCTGGGGCAGGGGGAGCTGCGAATCGCAGCCCCCCACCCCATCAAAATCTGGCCGGGTCCTGGGGACGAAGTGGGATCTGACGGAGCTCGGCACGTCCCTAAGGCAAAGGATGAAGGACGGTCCTGGGAGCCGTCACCGGCAGCAGCTCCGACCCCGCAGCACCCCCCGGGGTGGTGGGGGGACACCAGCCAGTGGAATGGGGGGGGGGGGGGGGGAACGGGGGTCCTGGCAGCCCCCACAGCAGTGGCCAGCACCGACAAGGGCAGGAGCTGGGGTGGCAGTGAGCATCCTCAGCCCCGGGAGGGGGACACGGTGACTTCCCCCATGTCCCCCCCCTCCCCCCGGGGAACGGGCACCACGAATAGCATGGGGTGCTGCTGCCACCCCCCACCTGCCCCCCCCGCCACACGCGAGCTGCTTCCCACCCTCCCACACCTCCGCGGCGGAACGCAGCCCGTGCCGTGCCCTATATACCGGCGCTGCCGCTCACCCACCCCCCCCCAGCCCCGGGGGTGGGGGGAGCCACCTCCTTCCCGGTGTGGCACCCCGAAACAGCCCCAGGGAGGCGGGAGGGCCTGATCCTGCCTGTCCCACTCTGCCCAGCACCACAAGATTTGTCCCCGGTTGAGGATTTGGAGCGGTCGAGGCTCCCAAAAGCCGCTGCCACCGGTGGCTCCGCTGCGGCTCCCGGCCCGGCGGGGAAAATGCGCCTCGACAGCGACTGCGGTGCTGAGCCAGACAACGCTCTGGCACTGTGTGTGTGTGTGTCCCCTTTGCCCCCCCGTCCCGGCTGGGGACCCCGCGGGCACCGGGGTGACCGCATGCAGCCTCGCCAGCTGGGGCAGGCAACCGGGAGCTGCCGCCGCGCAAATAATTCATAGCACGAAGCCAGGAGAGGGAGGCGATTTCTGCAGGGTGATGGGGGACACAGCCTGGGCCCCCCCCCCCCCCCCTCCCCGTGCTGCTGCCAGAGCCTGGGGCGAGCCCAGCCCCCCGGCACCCCCAGCCCTGGGGTGGGGGCAGACCCCCCGCCCAGTGTTCCCACAGCCCCAGCGTGGCCAGGGCTGGGTGGCTGTGGGTCGCAGCCTCCGGTGGGATGAGAAGCACGAAACGTGAACAAACCCCCCCCCCCGGCATTGTGACCCCCTCCTCTGTCCCCTTCCCCACGAGGGACTTAAATCTGCCCCCCCCCCAGGGTAGCGATGGAAGGGACCCCCCTCTGCTCGGGCAGGGAAGGCACCATCATCATCATCATCCCCCCTAAGAAAACTAAGGTGCTCCTGTGAGGCGAGACAGGGCTCCCCAAGTCCCTGTGACCCCTCAAAGCAAGACCCCAGGAGTCCCGGGTGCGCAGAGCCCTGCTGGGGGGGGGGTCCTGGGGGCACCATGGAGGCAGAAGGGGAGCCCCCAGTGTTGAGCAGGGACAGGACCCTCTCCCTCCCTGACCCCCAGGGCCCGGCAGCAGCTCTGCACCCAGAATCTCCCAGCCCGGCCCCGCTGCTCCCCGAACCGTGCCTCAGTTTCCCCCCCTTTCCCTTCTCTATCCCACACGGTGCCACCTGCCTTGCGGCGGGCCCCGGGCGCGGGGCGAGGCGGTGCGGGCTGGGCAGGGCTGCGGCGCGGGCACGCGCGTCTCAGGCGTCGGCGGCGCGGGCAGGGAGCGGCGGCGGGCGGGCGCTCGGGAGATCAGCCACGAGAGGGTCAGCAGGAGATGGCGGCGCCGTCATTAGGCTCCAGGGGTAACGGCGGAGGTTCCCACGGCGCCGCGCTGGCTACGCTCCCACCACCTTCCCCGTGCGGTCGGCCCCTCCTTGAGGCCTAGAAATGCTTTTAAAGAGAGCGAAAACGGGGCTGCAGCTCCCCAGCGCCGGGCCGGGGAGCGGCAGCTCACGGCCCCAGTGTGCCAGCGGGACTGGGAATGGGCTGCGCTGGGATGCTGGCACCCAGGTGGCATTTGGGGACAAACACCAGACAGCTGCCCGGCCCCCCCAGCAACACCCCGCTTTAGGGGAGTTGAGGGGGGTGGGGGTGTTTGGGAGGATGCAGCCAACTGCCCCCCCCCCCCCCCCCCACCACGCACCCCGAGCCTCGGGGGGCTGCGCTGGGGACAAGCCCCCTCCTCATTGCTGTGACCTCCCTGGGTGCCTTCCCCGCTGCTGGTGGGGGTGGGAGGTGAGGGGGGGGGATTTGGGGGGGGGGGGGGGGGGATGGAGGCCACCCCCACGGCCCAGAGCGAGCGCAGACGGGCTGCAAGCCTGCGTGTAAACCGGCGTGTAAACCGGAGCTGGGAGCCAGCGAGCCCCCCCCCCCCCCCCCCCCCATCCCCGACACCGGGAGCGGGGCCCGGGCAGGCGGGTGAGCCCGGGCCGGGGGTCGTGGGCACCGGCGAGGGGGTTGGGGGCGGGGGGGGGGGGTACGGACATGGCCTGCGGTGCCTCCGGTAACCACCCCCCCCCCGGAGCAGCCCCGGCCCGGTGCCGCCCAGCCCGGTGTCGCACCGCGGCCGGGCAGGGACCGGGGCTGGGGGGGGGGGGAGATGATGGGGATGGGGGGGGAGATGATGGGGATGCGGGGGGAGATGATGGGGCTGGGGGGGGAGATGATGGGGATGGGGGGGGAGATGATGGGGATGGGGGGGGAGATGATGGGGATGGGGGGGGAGGAAACAGGCCCGGGTAGGGCGGGGGCAACCCCGTTCTTCCCTCCGCGCCCCCCCCCCCCCCCGCCCCGCCAGCCCCGGCCCAGGCCCCGCACTCACCGGCGATGCGATGCGATGCGATGCGGCGCCCGCCGGGATGCGGCTCCTTCCCGGTCCCGGTGTCGGTCCCGGTGTCGGTCGGTCCCGGCCGCAGCCCCGGCCCCGGCCGCCGTTTCTTCCGCTCCGGAGACACCGCGAAACCACGTGGGTACCGGGCGGCCGCCAGCCCCTCCCCCCGCCGGTGCCGCCCCCCCCCCCCCCCCCCGGGGCACGGCGGGTCCCCGTGATGCTCCCGGCGACGGGGGAAGGGGGGGGTGTGTGTGTGTGACACACACATCCCCCCCCCGCACGCTGGCCCGGACCCCCACCCTGCAGCCCCCTCCACCCCCCCCCCCGGTGTGTGTGTGTGTGTGAGGGGGGGGGGGGGGGCGCACACACCGGACCCCAACCCCCTTCTGCAACCGGGGCACACACACCCCCCCCAGCAATGCTGGCCCCGGGACCGGGGGGGCTTCTCCCGGGGGGGCGATGAGCTGCAGCCACACACCATGGAGGGGCTGGGCTCACACACACACACAACTCCCCCCCCCCCCCCCCGCCATGAGAACATTTTATTCCTTGAATTGTTCTCTCGGAGCCGCTTCCATTATGGAATTACATTTTTTTTTCCCCTTTGCTGCGCAGGGTTATTAATAGCTGCTCTCCTTTCACCGGCGCCGCTGCTGCCGGGGGGCTCCACCGGTGAGTCCCGCGTTCTGGGGGGGTGGGGGGACACAGATCCCTGCAGCCCCCCCCGGGGTGGGGGGGGAACGCTGCCAAGCCTGGACGGCCGGACCCACAGCACGGTACAACCAGACCTACGGCACCTGAGGACCCCGACGGCACGAGCATCCCTGCCAAGGCCTCGTCCCACCCCACCGGAGGAGTTGGGGGGGGGGGGGAAGTGGAGCCCCAAGGAATAAGGGAGGGGGCGGTGGGGGCTTTGCTCCTGCCCAGGCAGCGACTGGGGGGACGCCAGCATGATCCTGCATCCCGGCCTTCTGCCTCCATCACACGACGGCTGGTGCTGGGCCAGGGAGGGGGAAAAGGTGTCAGTGCAGAACCAGGAAAAGAGGTTTGGCTTCACCCAGCCCCTGTCCCGTCCGTCCCCCCCCTGTCCCCCCCACTTCAGACACCCAAAGGGAGCAAAACCCCGAGCTGAGGAGCTCCTCTGGGGGCCCCCCCACCCTCGACTCCCCCCCTTCCTGGCACTGCGCTGAGCGCGGCCGTAGCATCGCTCGGATGGAGCCCGGGCTGCGCCGCGGCGATTCGGCGCATGGAGCATCACCACGGGACAAACCCCCCCGTGCCCCCCCCCCCTTTCCCCAGCCCAGGTTGGCACCGGTGGGTCCACGCTCCTGGGAGGCCGAGGTGCCGGGTGATTCCCGGGGCTGGAGCAGAAGCCGGGTGCCACTCGGGGGGGGTTCCAAGCCGAAAACACAACGTGAGACCCAGGAGGTTTGGGGAGGCCAATCCCAGGTGGGCACCGGGCTGCTCTGAGGCTTCGGCGAGCAAAGTGTGGCCTTTTCCATCTGAATTGCTGCCAGGGAAGCAGAGTGTTGCCTTTGGTGCGTGGCCCGGAGAAGAAAAACAGCTCTTGAGGGGGGTTGCAGGGCTGGGCTGAAAGACAGAAGAGAGAAGAGGACCACCAACCCCGGGGGAATTCGAGGGGCATGCAGGAGCCGCGCTCGGTCGCAGACAGGGCTCTGGAAAAATCCCGAGTGCCAGCTCCCGGCTTTGCTGGCGCTGGCAGATTGCTGCAAAGCACTTTGAAGTGCAAATTAAGGTTTTTCCATCAGGTTCGAAGTTAATTTTGACGCAAAGCAAGCAGCACGGCGGCCTCGGCCCCGCGCGCGCGACGGAGGCAGGCGCCGAGCCGGGGATGCGCAGCCCCGCGGGGAGCAGGGGGCAGGGGGATGTGGCCCAGCGTGTGTGTGTGTCCCCTCCCCGAGTGGCTGCGCGCAGGGGATGGGGCACAACGATCCCCCTGCACGAAGAAAAAGCCTTGCAAGGGCGCCGGGAGCTGTCGCGGGGCTGGCTGCGGAGGGGGAGGAGGGCAGAGGGAGAATTTAGAGGCAGGAGGAACGGTCCAAGCTCCTGCAATGGTCACCCGTGTAAAACCCAGGCCCTGGGATTTGGGGGTCCCCCCATTGCACCCCCCCTGGCCAACACACCATCTGGGGGAACCGCAGCTACGGGCAGAGCCGGGGATGATCCCCTAAAATTAAGGGCGGGCTCGCAGCCCCCCCAGACACTCGAGGTGCAGAGGTTGGGAGATGCAACGCCCGGAGTGACGGGAGCCGCGTTTACAGCCAGCTTTCGCAGCAATTGGTGCAAACCCACGTAAAATCCCGACTTCCCAGCAGCGTCTGTGCACGAACTCACCAAGGCAGAGCGATCCCAAGTCGTTTGCTGGGCAGCGGTCCCGCAGCGCGGCTGCCCCGGGCACCGTAAGGGTGCCAGCGGGCCGGAATCCACACACTCACCCCATCAGTCCTCCCCTGTCAGCTCCCAGCTTTGCTCGCAGCCGAGAAAACGCCAGCACCCACCTCCCTGCCCAGGAGCTCCGTCGGCCTCTCAGCCGCTTCAAAATCCCACTCAAAGCCACATTTCTCCATCCCCCCCCCCCCATAACACCGCTGCCAGGGACGGTCCCTCGTGCGCCCGGCCCCGCTGTCACCCTGCAGCTGGGGCGGGGGAGCTGCCTCCCCCTGCACCTCCCAGATCCCCATCGTAACTCCGTGACTGAATTATTGAACTCTAATGCGTTTTCGGGGGCGCTCGAGGCGGCTCATCAGCCCGTGTCCGCAGTGCCCACGGCAGGGAACGATGGAGAGCGGGGGGGAGGCGCAGGGGACCAGCAATCTCTCCTGCCCCCCTCTTCAACCCCTGTTACGTGGGGGCCGCAAACTCCCCGGGTTCACACAAGGCCTGAGCTGTGATAGAAATATCAGTCAAACCACCCCCCCCCCCCCCCAAAACGTCGCCTTCATCATCCTCAGTGGCTGTCTCTCATTTGTCACCCTCGTTAACCGCATTCAGAGGGGATGCAGGAGCCTGTCACGTCCCTCAATCAAAAGCTTTACTTACTCGAGGAAAACTATTTATCGCGCTTACGGTGGAGGCAGCGTTGGGCTCCTTGGTTATTACCGGCAAAAGTAAATGAGCCTGGCTGCCTTTTGGCAGGGGACACTTAAAATCCGCCCCCCCCCCCCGGTGATGCCCAGCAGCAGCACGAGCCTGCAGCCGGCTGTGGTTTTCCTTCCCACCCCCGTCAGCTCCAGCCACCGCTGGGCCAAAGCCAAGTAAATTCATGGGTCGGTTCCTGCTGACGAACAGGGTCTACCACGGGAACGCAAAACTCCATCGCCACCAGCAGCCACGGACGCGGTTGGGGAAAGTGCTGCTGCGAGCAGAGGGGGTGAGAGCAGCGCCCAGGCATCCGTACGGGGAGAACCTCATCGCCCTGCCCCGCGGAGTGGAAATCCTCCGACCGTCTCCCACTTGGCTCAGCTGGCCGCGCTGGCTCGAGAGCCAAGCCCCACGTCTTCAAAAAGGCAGCACCGAGCTCGTCTCTCACCTGTCCAGGACCCCCCGGGGGTGTCCGAGCACCCCCACCGAGGTGCTCACCACCCCTGCAGTAACGAGCCCCCCGGTAACGTGCTGGGGGGGGGGGGGTGTGGGGTGCTGCACCCCTGGGCTCCCCAAAACCCACGGCTCTGAGCACGGAGCGGCTTTGCTGAAACACACGAGGCGGCTGCAGCCGCCCGAAACCGTCGCGTCAGCCGGCACCGGAGAGCTGCGCCGGTGGGGCTCTTGGGTTTTCTCCCCGGAGGCTCGAGCTCAGCTGGGCAGGACCCAAGCGAAGGGCTGCGAGCCCTCCTCGCCCAACCCTGCCGCTGCCCGATCCCCGGTCCTGGCCCCGGGAGCAACAAGAGGAGGCGGCTACAGGGGAGTGGAAGCTGCACCCCGCACCCAGAGAGGATAAAACCCCGTAAATCCCCCCGCCGGAGCCCGTCCCTGATCAGCACAGCCCTTCGGTGCTCCTGGCTCGGCCCCTCCAGCTCCCGGGGGCTGGGAGCAGGGATGCTGGCTGTCTCCCAGCTGGACTCCGGGGTATTTCAGATCCCTGCAGCCACCCCAGCGTGGCCGCACGGTGCCCAGGTTTCCCGGGGGGGGGGGTGGGGGGTGGTTGATCCCCGACAGGGGGAAAGGAGGAACCTCCATCGCTCCCCGGCCGCCGCGTAAAACCGCCCGCTCCGCTCCCAGCCGGCGCCTCAGCATCGGGGTTATAAAGGAGACCAGCTGTAAAAATTAAGGTGTGTCTTCCCCCCCCCCCCAAGCTGAAAAAGTTTCGCTGCAGAGCGGTGACGCCAGCTCCGAGGCCACGCTGACCGCCCTGTCGCCGTGCCACCCCCCGGGGTGGGAAACTGCTGCGTTCAGCAAGCGCTGCCGGCGCCAGACAGCGACTGCGAGCTGCAGCAGCCCTTCGCAGGAGGGCAGCCAGGCCACGCCGCCACCGCCGAGACTTAGAAAATCAAGTTTTTTTTTTGTTTGTTTTGTTTTGGTTTTTTGTTTTTTTTTTTTTTTTTCCCCCCCCTCCCCACAAGGCTGGAGGAAAATTGAGTTTTGCCCTCACGCCGTCCCGCGGGAGCTCGGTACAGCCCGCTCACCTCGAGCCACCCAGCACCGGAAAGATGCTAAATAATAAAAATCCAGCGTCGGGAGAAGAGCCTGAGCTCCTGCTCCCAGAAATAGCTCTGCACGGCCCCGCTATCCTCGGGTGCCGGAGTGGCACATATGGCTGATGACACACTGCTGTCACCTCCGGCTCCCCCAAAGAGGAAACGGGCGATCGTCACTCATTGAGCGCACACCCACACAGTCTCTCCGAGCCACCGCGGCGGCGGGGGAAGAGTGCTGGCAGGAGGAGACGCGGCGGGCTCTGGGAAAACGAAGCAGCAGCACAAAAAAAAAAAAAAAAAAAAAAAAAAAAGTAAGGAAAACAAAAATAAAGCAGCGGCTTCTCTTTTTTTTTTTTTTTTGGTTAATTTAGAAGGTAAATAAATCGGTCCTACCGATTCCTTAGTCATTGGGTCCTTTCCAAGCGTTGTTACGGCGGGGGCGCAGGCGACGCGGGGACGGCGCTGGCGTGTCGCGGCCGGTTAAAAGTCTTTGCTATCAGGAGGCAGCCGGGCCCCGAAGCGCCGGTTCCTGCGCTAGGTACGACGGACAAATTGACAAAATGAAGTTAAGAAAGGGTCCTCGGTTCGGAGCTGAAAGGTCGGGATTGCACTAAGGGGCACCTTCGGAGGTGACACCTCTTCCCCCACCTGCGCCGAGATGAAGTTTAGAAGGAAAGGGCTTGACCCTTTCGAGCTCCCACTCGTGCCACTGTCGCAGCCCCCCCCCCTCCCCGCCGAGGCGGGCTCTGCTGAGACAAGGGTGGTTTTGAGTCTAGTGCTGAAATGGCACTTTGAGAAAAAAAAAAAAAAAAAAAAAAAAAAAAAACAAGGATTTTTTCCTATTAATTCAATCTGCCAAGCAGTGAAACCAGCTCTTTAAAAAAAAGTATTAAAAAAAAAAAAAAAAAGGCAAAAAAAAAAAAAAAGGCATTTGGCCCTCCCTCTACGGCCAGCAGTGACAGGATTAAGGGGTAAGAGGCGAAGGGGATCAGCTCCTGCGCAGGGAAGGCCTGCACTGCTGCACTTACTTTGAGAACTGGTTCCCTGAAACAAAACCACAACAAAAAAACAAAACAAAAAAAAAACCAACCCCCCCAAAAAAGCCCCAAAACAAACAGGACAGACACAAGGTTTGTTTCCACTACTGTCTCAGTGTACTTTATTCTCCTGCTGCCTACAGCTGAACAGCCACACAGGACAGAAACAGGTAGCACTGAGGAATGATCAGATTTCTTCCCTCCACGCCCCCTCCCCAACTTCAGGAATGGCTTTTTCTTTTTTTATAATTTTTTTTTTTTAGGAAATCCCACCCCACCTCAAGAAACAAAATAAAAAGAAAAGGCATTACTAGAAATGTGACCCAGGCCTCTCCCTAGTCCGTGCTCCGGAGCTGGCTGGCTCTCCCAGTTCACAGAGCTCCTCCTCTCCTCTCAACACCTGGGATTTTTTATTTTATTTATTTATTTTTTTTTTGTACACTGGTTCAAAGTCGGCACTTCGACTGCAATCTGAACCCAGCACTGAAAGGCACATATCTGATACCCTGTACAAGAGCTATTGTGGATGCTGCAGTGCAGATGGGCAACGAAAGCGGGCTCCATCGTAATGGATCCTAGGATCAGACTGGGAAAAGGAAATTGGGGAAATAAAGCAGATCCTTGCCTGCTTTTTAGGAGAAAAAAAAAAAAAAAAAAAGAAGAGAAAGAAAAAAGAATACTGGCTAAGGTTTTCTACTCTCCCTCCCACAAGCAGCTTTTAAAAATGCCCATGTTAAACTGCAGATTCAAATGCTGGTAGTATCAACAGCTGCATTAATAAAAATGAAATGAAACAGCCTCAAAACCCTGCACCTCCTCCAGTTTTTGTTGGCTTATTGCTGACAATCTAGGATAAGCAAGGGACTATATTCCTCAAAAGCAAAAGTTTCATTTAAGAGGAAACGAGAGATTCTGATCCTTCATGTGAAAATAAGACGTTGCATGACTGGGGAAGCAGTAAACAGCCAATTCATTTCTGAGTTGCCCATCAGACTGTTACTACTCTATTAAAAAAAAAAAAAAATAAAATCATTAAATGGGTTCCCCTTTTACTGGAAAGACCAAGAATACAAAAAGGAAGTATTGGGGAATGTTTGACACCATTTTATTAATCTTCAACTGCAGTGGAAAAATATAACCTTTTACAAGTGCCGCCTTGTGTAAGCTCAAGTCAGTATATATATATTTTATATAAATTTCTTTTTTCCTTTTTTTGTTTTGAAGTGCAGCAAGAGACCAATACCACATTAAATTTGATCAAATAAAGAGCACAAAAGGCCAAGCAGTTTCCAAATGGCATTTTATCAGATTTTGTTTGAACATTGAATTTATCCTCATTTTGCAATCCAAAATATTACCTGAAGTTTTATTTTGTTTTTCAACTCTTTGGCACAATTTTTGTGGGTGTTCTGGCTGCTACAGTACAAGTCAGGAGAGATCTTTCCCTTTGCGTTCTCACTGCCAATTCGGAGCACTTAACTTTTGTAATTTTTTTTTTGTTTTTGTTTTAAGCCTGAAATCTTGTTTGACAATTTATTTCTATTCCCTCTAACGCAAGAGTTTTGTTTTTCCCCCATTTCTACATTCACAGTTGAACAATATTAAGGAAGGAAAGGCGCTTTGATGAAACGAGATCATGAAAAGCGTCACTCGGAACGGGAGCTCTGAACATTCGTCAGTGTTTCCCTAAAATAAAAAGCCCTAAAGAGCGACTTTCCTTTTTCATTTTTTTTTTCCTTTTTTTTTTTTTTTTTCTTTTTTTGTCTTTTTTTTTTTTCCCCTCTTTTCTTTTTTTACATCTCTTATGCTGCATCAGTAGACTGAACTTCGGTTAGTTTATGAAATGCAACAGCTAACCCTTTTTTTTTTTTTTTTCTTTTTTTTTTTTTTTTTTTTTTGGGAAAAGATAAACTGCAATGACTTGAAGTTGAGAATGTGGATACCGCCTCATTCACACACACTCACTCCTAGACTGAAAATCCTTCACCCCCCTCCTTTTATCCCATGCACCGACAGCATCGTGCGGCAAAGGTTACAGCAGGCGGCTGGAGACCCAGGCTCCGTCTCCCTCCAGCAGCCCGAGCCAGACCCCAGAGCACCACAGTTGAACCCAGTTTCCTCTCCTCCAAACCGGCCGTTCCCCTCCTGCGCCGGCCACGACAGAGAAGCTAGTCCTGATCTGTCGGAAGAAGAGACTTGCTCGTTACTCGGACAGAAATCGGTCGTTCCCTCTCCCCGAAGACGGCCGATGCCAGGTTTTCCACGCAAGTCAGTGCTCAGCTCGCTAACAGCTCCGCTGCTGTTGCTGTGGCGGGATTTTCAATGTGGTGTGTTTCAAGCCTCACTCACTCATCCTCTCATTCCCAAACATTCAGCATCCGTGCACACTCCTCACTTCCGGGTTTTTTTCAAAAGATTGGAGATTTCCAGCTTTGGGGGTCTCAGGTGTCATCCCAATGGTAACAGATCTGCAAGCAAAAAGGGTCCATCAAAAAAGAACCCCCAAACACCACAAAAGCCCACGTTTGGGAGGCAAAACTAGCAGTAAGTGGAAAAAAAAAAAAAAAAAAAATTGACTAAAAGAGAAATAACAGGGACACTAGGGATCTTCTCGAGGCGGGGTGACAAAGCTGCAGCAGACTTCTCCTAAATGCAGATACACCATCACGCATCTCTACAACCTGCTCCTTTTTCAAGCTGCCTCAGTAGGATCGTAAGCTCCGAGTATCTCGAGTTGGAAGGGACCCAGGAGGATCATGGAGCCCAACTCCCTGCTCCTCGGGACCACCCGAAACTAAACCGTACGGCTAAGAGCGGCGTCCAGGTGCTCCCTGAACTCCGGGTAGGACCGGGGAGGCAACGGGCTCCGATTGCACTGCCTCTGCAGGAGCACAGCCTCGCCCCCCACGAGCAAGGGCGACGCATTTCGCAGCGCCAGACACCCCTCCAGCCCGATTCTGGCCTCGGGAAAGCCAAGGGGGTCACCGCGTTTCCCCGGTTTGTATTTGTTCTGATACCCAGGACCACAGATGGGGCTTGTTTACAGAAAAATAAACGAGAAGCAACCTCCTAGAGAACAAGGCTTTTGTGAAGCGTCTCTTTCAGACTCAGGAGTTTAGCCAATTTCACAATTATGCAACATGAAAAGGAGGTGGGTGTAATCCCTTACCAAGCTTGATTCTTCAGTTTTCTCAGTTCTTTAGTCGCCCAGGTAGCGAGGGTTTTTGTTTTGTTCGTCTTGGATCTTCTTCCTTCAGTTAGCAGTTCATGTATCATGGGTCTAGCTTCTACTAATTTCAGTACATCTTTTCCAAATGCTGTACACAAATCCCTGAAGAAGAGAGAGAGGCTTGGAGGCTGAGTGCCACAAACAGATGTGCCAGTACCACTGTGATCAGCTCTTGCTAGCAAAAAGAAATCTGACTCACAGCTAACGTCCTTTTTAAAAATGCTGCATATGGTCACTAATTTCAGCAGCAGGAGAGCTGAATGGTTTTCTGAAACTGTGACTAACCAGAGACATCCCATCTCCTGTCCAAAGGCTGATCTCCGCGATACTCCCATCAGCTCTCCCTAAATTCAATAGAAAAAGATCAAAACGCCCTGACCCGAGTTCCTCTGTACCCAAGGAACTGAGGGTGGGGTGTTTTGTTTTTAAGCCCAGGCCATCCTTGAAAAATCCGAGACCTGGAATTTCTCTAACACACATCCAACTGTCACTTCTACCTACTGGTTTTCACCCTGTCAGTTAAAGGCCCTCACCTGCGTAACCACTTCACACCTTGGGTTAAACATCTAACACCAGACTGTAAATACCCAGAACTGATGTTAAATACTTCCGACAGTCATAAAAACTCAGCTTCAAATATTTCTATCTATCTACTGAGCGTGCTGTCAGCTGAAACAGGATCGGGATGCTTACCCTATCAGTCCAGCAGCACACGCCACTACTCCGTCGGTGTGATCCTCATCTCCAGCAATGTGGTCAATGTAAGACAGAATAAATTCTACTCTGGGCTGCACCAGCATCACATCCGCTGAAAGAAAACAGCTTTATTACAGCAGGGTGAAACACAGTTCCCGTTTAATAGTCTGGTCTTTAAAAAGGATTCCAGCGTCCCCCAAACCAGGCAGAATCTGACCCCCGAAGAGCTCTCCGAGATAGGGAGGGGAAAAACTGCCAGAGGAAGAGGAGAACCATAGCGAAGGGCTTTAAAGCCATTCCCTACTCATGGCAGCAGAGCATTCACTCCCACACAGAAGGGAATGAACAAGGATACGCCTTATGATAACAACTGTGGAACAGCTTGTCCGAGCGGAGTTCTCCCTACCTCCCTCTGTCCTGTCAGGCACAGAACCACCACAGCAGGACACAGTACTCACGATGAACGTTTTCTTGGTCTCCTTTCAATCCTTGGATGATGCCGGTGTAAGCTTCCAGGCAGCCCTCCCTCAACTCATTCAGGTAATCCACCATGTCGTAGTCAGACTGGAAGAGCAGCAGGAAAGCACACTTCAGCAACGGCCCCAGCGACACGAGCGCAGCCCTTACTCCTTTACGATTTCAGTGCAGCAACTGGAGGGTGCACCAGTGGCTCACCTTATCAACCTGCGCTTGGGAAGCCTGCTGGAGGGTATTCAGTACGACATCGAGGTACTTCTTAAATTCTCCTCCAATGGCAAGGGCAATATCGCCAAACACTGAGAGAATCTGAGGCTTCACAGACCTATGAACATTTTCATTCTGGAAGAGATTGCAGCCCCATTACATTCGGTCGCACTTCCTTTTAAGGGGGGAGGAGCTAATAAATTAAGATGTTTACTTGAAACGTAAATCCTTACCCCCGATAAATTTGGATTCCATTCAAATAGTAAGCAAGATAGTTGTCAAACATGAGATCTTCAGAGCATGCCTAACACTTCTGCTTCTCCCACCTCCCACTTTCTTCTCAGTGTGCAAGCCAACTGTTACTAACTGGCTAATGAGAAGGTAAACACTCACCCCCAAGTTCTCCAAGAGCAGCTGCATAACCTCATCACAAAAAGGCAAGATGTTGGATTGCAGGGCTCTGCACAAGTCACCAACCAGGCCCACTGCAGCCAGACAAACCTGCAAATAGAACAGCAAGTAAGACACCCACCCAGTGAGTCAGTCTTCCACACTCCATCCATAAAGCTTCAGCTTATTAAAGCACTAAGTAGTGGTGAGAGTCTGCTGCCAGTAAACCACCAAGGATAACGACCCTCGTATAGCAGCTGATGAGTCCCTGCTTCGTTAACCATCTACCTCACCAAGCTGCAAAGAGCTGAACTTGCTTCACCAAGAGGGAGGGCAAGAGATCCAGAAGCCAAAGTGACAGGTACTTGGTCCAAACAAACGCTACCCAATTCAGCAGCTGGGCGACCTAAACATCCACCCCACGGTGAGTACCAGGACTTGACCTTCTAATGGAAATTCACAGCCAGCAGCAACCTCTTTCCTCATCAAGGCCAACTAATATGCAGCCACTGTGAAAACACAGGTGTCAAGTCAATGAAGGCCTTCTGTTGAATTTAAATAGGAAAGAGTCTAAATTTGTACGTGCAGCCAGTAATTAGAGAAAAGTCTATGGGGTTCCAATTTTGGTTTCATCACCAGAAGCTGTGCTATTTTACAGATCCACACCTGCCAAACTCAGCATCTGTGAGCAGTTGAGAATTTAGAGATTGTGAACACAGGGCTGCCTGGTTTGACCTCTACCTGGTACTCCGCATAGTTCTTCAGTCCAATGCCAAGGAACGGTTTGAAGGCATCCATGTACTTCAGAAACTCTCCACCTAAGACTGTGCATGGAAAATATTCCGGTTAGAAGAAAAAAATCCCAACCTATAACATATTTGCTGGAGTTCAACAAAAAGAGAAACCCACCACATTATATTCCACCCAAAACCAGTACCTGTATGTTCCACAGAAGCACAACGAACTCAGGTCTCCACTAAGCACCACACAGAACCGAGCAGTGAAATGTGTCCATCTGGACTAAACAGACTCAAAAGTGCTCAATTCCTCGCAGGCCTCTGAAGACAAACAACCCCCTCCTGTGCCCAGAAAGGACGTCAAGATCTTCCTGACTGCACAGACCCATCGGAGGGAGGGGGCCATGGCAGCACCCTTCAGACAGGGTTTGGCAACGTTACGTTGCTTTGCATCAGCTGAGAACTCTACCCCTTTCCACCCTGCCTTACTGCCATCACCGCTGTAACAGCTTCCTTTTGGGAACAGCTGCTCAGCCTCTTCAGAGCCGTGCAGTTCGAGCAGGGCACTCTTCAGTACGTTTGTATTTAAGCAGTATTTGAAGCGAAGTATTTCTGCTCTTCTCTGCCAACTCCTACCTTCTCCAAACCACTCGCATCACTAAGACCATGCATGCAGATTTACCCATCCAAGAGTGAAAAGGCCTTTGTCCCAAGGATACACACTTTCATTTTCACTTTCTGGTTAGCTTGCAATGAAACCACTCAGCCTTCTCATTCAGCTCCCAGCTTCCTTGGGCAATCCCACTAAACATTCCCAAGAGCCATCAGAGGGGTACCCGCCAAAGACCAGCTCCCCAAAACATGCTTGTGTCACAAGGAGCTACTCCAAAAAGCCAAAACTGACTCTACTGCACTTAGGAGGTGTCTTGTGTTCTCAGAGCAATCAGGTTTGTACTTCTACTGGAAACAGGTCCTGTCACCTGCTCAGGCCCTCGCAGGCTAGCCAGGGTTAACAGCCTCAGGAGAAAAGGAAGACTCAGATGAGCTTCTCTACACACCGATCTCTCTGCAGGCCCATTTCTAAATCACACACAGCTTTTATCAGAGATAAGGCAGGAGTTTTAGGCAATGAGGTTACCTACAGACTTCCAGCAGCACCTCAACTTTCACACTCATTTGGCATCAGAGTGTGATCCCAGAGCTCCAGATGATGCCACAGCCACCACCTTCTAAACCTGAACCATGAGGCTCAAACTGCCCGCAATGCCACAAGCCAGATTTTATTTTACTTCACCCATTCCGACCCACTCTAATGCTCATCTTTGCCACCGTGATTTCTTTTAAATGCGAACAGTGACTGTAAATCCACCACGGACAAAACACCACGAAGCAACCATGGGTCACAGACAGCAGCAAGTATGAATCATTAAGATAACGTTAAATCTGTCCTGCAGCAGCACAAAGAGATCAGGTTCCCATTGTGCTGGGCACTGTACAAAGTAGCACTAGGTTTGGGTTTTTTTTTTTTCCTAGCAGAATTTGCATTGTAGCTACGTTATTAACAGAAAACAAACCATCCATTCACGAAACACAGTCTAGCATAACCAGCCAGCCTCAGCTTCGCAGGCAGATGTGGCGAGATGTGCGGTCACAACCATACCTCAAGCAAAACCAGGAACTAGCAATATTTTTCACCATAGAGTCAAAAAGAGAAGGAAGCAAACCAGCTCTGTTCCAGCTCTGCCTGCCCCCAAACACAACCTCGCCCTGCAGCGCAATACCGACCTTCTACCAGGGTGCTGACTGCCATCAAGGCATCCTCCTGCACGCCTCCCGAGCCCGCCGTGCTCTGGAACATTCTCAGCAGAGATGCCATCACTACGTCGGAGATCTGCAAAGCATCCTGGTGCTGGACCTTCCGGAGGACGTTCTGGGTGGGAATGGAGAAAAGAGGTTGTAATTGCTTCCATCTACGCAAGGCTGGATCGTGCCTTTACATCCTCTGTGCTAACTCCAAACGCTCGTGACCACACTGGGCTGCTAAAAAGGAAGCCGCTGTTTGAACTCTGCTGCTGTAAAAATAGCTTTGTCAGTGCAAGTGCAAAGTCCCATTCATTTTAGCTGCATTCAATTTTCCAGCTACAGAACAAGCTGAATTTACCTTTCCTGCTGCATAGGCTATTCTCTGGGCTCTCCATTTGTAAGCTGGCATTAAATGTGACCAGCCCAAATTTGGCCCTATAAAAAAAAAAAAAACAACCCTTTTCCATCACAGCAATGTGACAGCAATCTCTTACTGCCAAGTATGGGTTGCACATAAGCTTTGCTTCTAAACCACAGAATTAAACTTCAGAAATTCTGGTTGTTAAACTATGACAGAAGCATGTCCTTACTGCTAACTGCAGTTAAACCTCTCCTACTCAGGATGAATGGAGAATAAATTAACATACAACCAATGCAAAATACGTTTATAGGAACATATTTAGCACTGAAGTGTTTGAAAAGCAGAACTGATTTCTGGAGGGAGCAGAGGCAGCCTTACACACAAGCAGAGCAGGCTGGGGAGCACATGTGCTCTGTTATCCAGCACACTGCAGTGAGCAGCAGGGCCAAGGAACCACCCCAGATAAACACCTCTGCCCTGCTCCTGCCACAGAGTTCTGACTGTCCCTTCCAGCATGTGAACTACAGAACACAGCTTTGATGTATCCTATTTAAAATAAACTTGCATTTCCTATGAAAAGACTGATTCCTTAACCTGCAGAGGGAAATAATTATTTCAAGTCTGACTCTTCAAACTGAGTCACTCCAAAGAGATTGACTTTGACTGTTTAAATAATTGGTCTCAATCTTCTCGTTCCTTTTAAATACTAACAAATATTTTTCCTCTGCCACATGTTTATAACTGTATTTCCAGCAGAAGAGAAAAAGTAAATAACAAAGTAGTGTATCTGACTATGTAACACTGAAAAAAAAAAAATCACCCTGCTGATTTTTACTTAATGGCATTTAATTATCTGCTGCGACTACTGTAAATACTTAAGGTACAGATCTTGCAATAATGAAGAAACACACATTTACAAATTAAAACTAGCAGTTTAATTCCACCTGTACTACACTTCCCACAGACAAAGCTGTCCTGAAAGATCAGAGATCACACTGTGCCAAAAGGAGAGATTCTAGATACTGAAGTCTCCCCAGTAAAGCCCACCATAAGGACAGATTATTCTTATCTACCAGTTATTTGAAAAATTACTCTAAAAATTGGAAAGAAGTAACAGCTGATGCTATGGGCTCTTGAATGAGAAGGATGAAGTTAATGATTGCTCAAAAGAACCTGGAGACAGCACTCAGGAGACCTCCTAACCTTGCCTAAGAGAACAAGAAGCTAAAACTGATAGAAGCAGGCAGTTAACCTGTGGGTGAGGAAAAGGCTCCTGGGCTAATAGGAATGGAACAATCAAACTGCAGAAAACAGGTAACACTGCCCAGCAGCGGAATAAACCTGAGCAGAGGTAGATACTCTGCTCTTATTTCAGATTACACAGTACTCTGTTACACCTCCAGAAGAAAACGCTCCTTCCTTCTTCTGAGCTGCACACCACAGCTGTGGTGATGCTGAGTCTAAGTCTATTAAAGCAATGCCTTGTCACTGTCAATAAGCTAGGCATGACAGCACAGGACCACCCTTCCTGCAGTGCAAACAGCAAAGCCTCAATATCAAATACCACGTATTTCAGAAGGGTGCTCTGACAAACCTCCTGAATGGTTTTAGGGGGAAAAAAAGTGGCTGTTTTCAGTGGACTTTGTAGGAGTAAGCAAGGAACTGAAATGCACTAGTACTCCAAGTCACATGGACTGCTCATTACCAGATGTTTTAATTTCAAGGACACTCAGTGCATTTTAATTAGTGCCATTTTAAATAAGAACACCAACCACAAGAGGCAGATGAACAAATTAAAGCCGTTATTTTTTTTTTTTTTCTGTGCCAACCAAAGTGACTGTTCAGCCTGTAGCAAACATTAACAGCCAGTCTGAAAGCAAATACAATCTTTAACATGTCACATCCAGTGTTCTTTATTCACATTGCCCTAAATTTTTCAAGTCATACTCTACAGAAGCCTTATGAACCTTGTATCACCTCCCACATGTCAGCTGGGAGACAAGATGCAATTTCCTCTTTCAGATCTCATAAACAGAACCAAGTCTCCATCCTCGGGGGCACAGAACCGTCTCTAAAATCACCTCTTCCCCATAACCACAACACAGGAGCCAGGAACTTACCTGTAGAGTAGCACAAAGAAGAGACTGAAGATCATTGAACTGGATTCTGTCGGAAGTGCTCTGGATATGAGACTGGAAGAGAACAAAAACCCCACGTGTGAAAAGCCTGCATCGCAGTCCACGCAAACCCAGCAGATTTGACAGCACTAGGAGTTGCAGAGATTCAATTTAAGTATTTGCTTCCTCAAATTTCAGAGGAGAGGTACTGTTCAGAAGCCTTAGATTTTGTTTGGTAGCTAGGTAATTAACACGTTATTTCATAATATATGCAGTCAGCAACAGAACTCATTTTCCTACACCAGATGAAGCCACAGCACAACGGCAACATCACACCTACTTGGTCTCCTTAAACCCCTTTCTGTACGGGGGGTTTAAAGCCGGGCTTTACCTACCTCCATCTGCAGCACTTGCTGAAGTCGCTCCATGATAACCAGGGTTGTCTTTTGGACAGCAGGGTAACAGTCCTTGGCACTGTTTTTCACTATTTCCATCAGAGATTCATATGCAGAACTCCTCAAGTTATTCTGGTGTCCATCAGGCCTGTAACAGAAGGAATATATTTGCAGCTCCCAGTGCTTGCTTAGAAACAGATTTTTTTTTTTTTTTTTTTTTTAGTAAATCAGCAACAGCTAAATTTTAGTGTTGTGACAAGCAGAAGCACTTGCGTTCCTGTATTCCCAGACTGGAAAGTAAATGAAATTTGTGAAGCCACTTTTGGAACATTTTTTTCATTTGCTATTAATAATGACTTCCAATATCTTCAATCACTAGCAGCAAGTATAGGAGCAGAAAAATCCTCAAACCCACACATTTCAGTGTGCTGTTATCCTGCCTGGGAAGAGATGGTCTCAAGAGGTGAGCAGCATACATTACTACCCCTGACATCCCTCCGAGATGTTGATGAGGGTGTTAAATTTGAAATAAAGACAGCTGAGATCTATGCTAAGATGACTGATAGGCTTCGGAGCCTTGAGCTAGACACTACACTTCTGGTTGGATGTAAATTAGACGGGAAGAGTTTAGACTTTGAACTGTTCAGACAGGGACACCATTTAAGAAGAAGTACTCCTGCAGCAAAAGGCTTCAACTGACGATTGAACTGATCCAAGGATTGAACTCTGAGCTGTCAAGATTTATGCAACCTTCAAGGCAGAATATGACTTCAGCATTACCTTTATTTTTGCATCTGCAGAACCGAGAAAAATATTTTGCCTTGGCTATTTATATTTCAACTTAGTTAGGAAAAGGGCAGTATCTAGCCTAACTAGGTCCTTGGCTCTTCTGGGAGTACCTAGTGTTAATGTAAATGGATGTAACGTTACAGCAACAACCATGGCATAAAACAATCACAGTAAAATGAACTGTACGATACACACAGATTTCTAATTATGTCTTGCTGCAATCCTAATTATTCAGTGGCCTTGTAGCCAACCTTGAATATTGTACAAAGATGTGCACAGTCTTAAACTGTGCTCGGAGACTTCAAAGTAAAACATGGAAGAGGCACTCTTGGAGGAAACCCCAGACTTACTAAAAGCAGATATGGACAAAATACTGAGAAATTATTCTGTGTGAATAGCTTTCTTCCTGGGGATTAGCATTCTATATTCCATGTGATACTGAAAAAGCCTGGTTCTGAAAAATACCATTCATATCTAAGCTGCAAGAGAAAGAGGACCAACAGGCTGAAGTAACGAGAAAAGCATATTTGTAGAGCTTAAGCCAGAGTTTAGTGTTACCTATCTGCAGTTTCCAGAAGTTTCTGAACTATTAGCTCAAATGAAGAGGATAAGCAGTAGGTTGCTGGTTCTTCCTGATCATCAGCTACATCTGCAGCTTCATAGGCAGCTTCAGCAAGACTAGAGAAGGCCTGAAACACAGAAGAACCATTCCTATTACTCAAATGAGTTGACCCTCACAGGTCCTGAAACATATATTCCAACAGTTTCCATTCTAACAAAAACAAACCCCCTTCTCAAACATGCAGGACTAACAGTTCCCTTCATGAACAGCTAATTGGTTCCTGCACCAAACTTTGGTGCAACAGTGGTAAAAATTTCCAAGACTTTGCACGCGCAAGGCAGTCACACCGTCTGCAGCCAAATGTCTGCACCGTGTTACTGGTCTCAACGACTGGTAGCTGTCAAGAACCAAACTGAATAAAGGCAGATTGCTTGAACCTCGCAGGGTATTAACAGATTCTACCCACTATCCATCATCATCATCATCATCACAAGTTAAAATCCTGGTTTAGACAAGGCTGCGGACTGCTCAAATTCGCGACTGCAGAACAATTTTAACCGCTCTGAGAGACAGGTGGATTAGAAGAGTTGAAAGCCTTCTGATTTTCATTTCAATCTAAAAACATATAGTAGTCATCATCTTCAGAAGACAAAAGCCACAGCTACATGGACTTTTGCCAGGATCAACGTGTCGGGAAAAAGCTTCCGTGCTGACTAGAAGTCTTCAAACCTCTGGAATACTAAGAGAACAAATTCTGTCATTTCTAAAACTTGTTTTGACATGCAAATACTCATCTCCAGCTCAATTATTATTGAGCAACTCTCTTAAAAGGCAGTAAGGGACACATCCTCTTTACAGTGAAAGATCAGATATGCTACTTGGTAGTAGACATGCATCAAGACGACGATACAACTGAAGTTAGCAAACCAACCCAAGGGACTGCAGCTCTGTTAAGTGAACAGAAAAAAAAAAAAAAATCTCATGCTCCTCAATTTAGTTCTGGAACGGCTGCAGAAGCGGGCTTAGGTAACGGGAAACAAGGCATCTAGTCTTTCCTGTAAGCTTAAGAAGGCAATCCAGCTGCCCTCAAGAAAAAAAGCTAAACCCCAGCATGGCTTTTCTAAACAGCTATCACACCCGTTATCAAGGATGGTTTCCATAGCATTTTCAAACCAAAGGCAACTTCTACACTCAGTGAATATCAGCATTTTTGTCTTTCAAATCCACTTCTTCCTTTACTCTTTTCTACCAGAGCCACAAAGCAGACTTGAGAACACAGTTAGCAACAGTTGTGTGTGCTGGGTGACCAAGCCACGAGTCATCTCTGAAATCCATTTAAGCATGTGGGTATACATACGTATGTGTATATTCATATATATGCATACGAGCTGCATTCCCCTTGCTGATACAAACTTCTCCCACGTCCAGCAGCAAAGGGACTGCCTTACCCAGCACACGTTGGAGGCCACTCTGGGCTCAGCGCTCAGGCCCTCCATCAGACACTGCAGCAGTGGAGCGAGGTAAATGTCATTGATGGCAGCTTCAGGAAGCATCTCACAGATCCTGCCCACGGTCCAAGCAGTCGTGTCTCGAACCACAACACTGGGGTCCTTCATTAGTTCTATTAAAGTTGGCATTGCCTAGAACATACAGTCAGGAGAAAGATGTGATCATATGCAATATATGGAAATAAGGATGTGCCACTGTTAACATGTTCTGTACAAGTTAGCGATAGATTGGAGAGGGGGGAAGAGTCTAGATGCAGTCGGGCCACTGTTCTCACATTCTAAGGTTCACAAAGTTATTTCCCAGGGGGTAAGACTGAGGCATCCGGAGTCAGGTATTCTGGCACGTCCCTGTGAATGAGCTGTGTAACCCAGCTACCTGCCCTGGGCCTACCAAATCTCTCTAACACATGATTAAAAGGGGGTACACCCTTTCGCTTTTCCTCAGATTAAGAACAATTGCAAAGCAGGTGTCGTCCTCAAAATAAATCAGAAAGTTTTTGCGCCAAGAAAACACGACGAATCTTACCTGTATGACTAGTGGTTTGAGCTGGTTAGGCTCTGGTCCTTCCAAAATGCACCCAAAAGCCATCACCGCTGCATCTCTGTATCGCCAATCTGGATTTTTAATGTGTTCTTTAATAAAGGGCAGCACATGAGGAACAATGTCATCTTCACAGCAGGTCGCCAGGAGCATGAGGCAGACTCCTGCTGCTTTGCAGGGGTTCCAGTCGTCGTCATCATCGTTTTCATCCTAGGAGAACAGCACCCCTGGTCAGTCTGGGGGAAAATATCCCTTACCACTCACAGGCGGTGGCAGCCTGCTGGATCTACTGCTAGTAGCATTGCCTTACTACCAGGTGTTATATTTAGAAATAAATTCAGGTCTGGAAGTACTAGCTACATCTCTGACAGAGAGGCAACCTGAGTTACTTGCATCATCTGTACCTTTCTGTCCTGGTGCTAGGCTGCTAGCTCTTTACTGACGCACCTACAGTAGCCTCATACATCTTCCAAACTGCTTCTCTCTCATCTAGGTTGAGATTGCGCTCCTTTGATCCACGCCATCGCCTCGCAGAGTGGCCTGCTGTACCAGTTAAATAGCTTCTTCCCCCCCTCCCGCCCCCGACTGTTAGCTCAACCACTTACCAAATTCCTTTGAAGCTGTGTACCTGTGATTCTCTTATCCTTTTTATCTTTCCTGTTTTAACAAGCACTTTAGAACCTCCTGCAATTTAACTCTCCGCATCCAAGCGGACAGTGGTACAAAACAAACAGGGAAACAATTCCCCGGATTCATGAAGAGCACCAAGCATTTTCCCAGTTCACTGCAGTAAGCCAAATGAACTCTGTCCTGTATGGCTTAATTAACAGTTTTATTTTATAATTAGACCTGCTGTAGCAAGTGATTCCATTAATTTTGATTAGACTGTGAAACACAGTCCAAACAAATCCCTGTGAAGTCTTATTAGGTACTAAATAAACATGGACTTCGCAGTTCAAAAAGTAAAGCTTAAGAATTCCAGAAATTGGATCTCTAATGTTGCAGAGACTGTATATTGGTCTTAATTTCACAAACATTTCATTAGGAATACAGATAACTATCAAACCTCTTCAGAAACCACAAGTACAAGCATGTGTTAACAGAATTCAGCACAAAAATGACACTGCACGCAGTCTCACAGTCTCAGCCCTACAAAACGATGCATCATTCAAATCAGAGTGGTGCATGATGTCTCATCACAGACCAAGGACTGCCACTACGGGTGCTCCGAACAGCCCCACTGCTAAAACCCCCCCGAGGGCACCTAAAGCACCTCTGGGACCAAACGTATCAAGAAGTCGCCTATGCAAGGGAGCAATGACCACCACTGACAATTTGCTCCTGCACTGCACAGCAGCACCGCTGTCCCAGCATTTGGCAGCAAGCATAGCACATCTTTTTTGACATGCAGCAGGGATTTTGCAAACCCACCTGTTTTGTTAACGTTTGTGTCAGAATTGGGACCAAATACTGTAGCGCTCCCTTCGCGTAAAATTTGCTAGTGTGCTCTGGAGGCCTTCCTTGCTCTGCTGCCTAGAAAAAAAAAAGTTACAAAATGATTCTCAGGGGCTAGAGAGGCATGAGGTCTGAATTACGAACTCCAGAAGATACAAATTCTCTTTTGCATGCCTTCTCCTTCACAACACAAACTCTAAGATACCATAACACACAGGAACCTCAAGGACACCCTGCACCAGTCCCAGTTAAATATTCAATAAGCAAGTTCACTGTGCCATTCCATACACATATAGAGCCCTGCCTCAGATAGCACAAATACAAATATTTTCAGTTTCCAGTTACATATAATTAACAACTGACCCCAAGCAGAAGCAGCAAAAGGTCTCTGGCATACAAACTAAACCTACGTGCTGCTGACTGTCCTTTTATCCTTGCTTTTTTGGGCATTCAACATAAATATATATTTAGCTACTTTTAAAGAAGGATATGATTCATCTAGAGCCCTTCAAAGTTTAAGCTATTATTGATCTCTACAGCTAATTTATGCAAACAGCATCTGCAGGCAGAACAATACCCCAAATTCATCTCCAGCCCCATCCATTGTAAGGAATGATTACTTTTATTCCATGCCATAATTTTATACTTAACTCATAAATAATGTATTACACAGAAAGCGATCAATCTTTTTGCGCACGGGGGCAGGACTAAGTCCCTCATGCCTGTAGCAGACCCCAAAATCTTACACGTCAGCGTAACAGAGTCCACTAGGCCTCCAAGACAGCAGGTAATTCAAGAAATGCTCTCCCTTCAATGTGGTATGTGTATCTCAACAATTCAAGATGCCATCCTAACGGAGCAACAGCTCAAAGATCTTCACGATACTGAGAATTTTCAGGTATTATACTGTGCCTAGTATACATGCTTAACGTGCATTTCAGTTAACCCTACAGGAGCAGCTCGAGTTGACTTTTGAATGCTAAAAAGAAATCAGGTGACTGCCACATACTGTTTGCGGAAAACTAGCACTTGTATGTCACAGTGTGTTCTCATCAAACCTGTCAGAGAATCTTTATCTTAAGTAGTTTTAATTCCAGCCAGGCTGGCATTAAAACCACTTTTCTCACTTAAAAAGACAGTTCATCCTAATCTAATCCAGTAAGCAAAAGGAGTTATATTCGAGCTACATTAAGAACTTTTTATTAGGCTACAGAGCCTACAAAATAACCCAAATGGTTATTAAAGGGAATTTCAAATGGCATCTCCTGTGCAACCTTAGCTACAAGCTTTGCATTTACCTTGAACAACAGAATAAATTAACCATAGCTGAGCCCTGCTAGGACAGCTGCTACTACCCAGGCTAGCTGCTGAAAACTAAGCTGGGTACCACAACACTGTGCTGATGTCTGCAGCGCACCTAACGCCCGGCATCAAACCAGCCCCACGGGCTTCCTGCAGCCTCAGGTCTCAACTCCTGTCACAGACGCACGTCACATCACAGGATGTCTCATCACCAGCCCGTGATTGCCACGCCAGGGGCTCAGCCAGGCTCTCCCGTGCTGTTCCACTTGGGAGAACAGGAGGACTTTCAGCTGGGCTTCAATGACGCGAGTTCAGCATTTCCAAAGTGATGATGGATCATGGGCATTCGCCGCTTTTCAGCGGCCACTTGTGAGCTCACCTCAGACGCCTCTATAGCCAGGTCCATCTCCTCGTCACAGACGTTTGACCAGAACTCTATCCCCTGTAGAGCCACCTCGTCTATGTCACTTTTCATTGCTTCAATAGTTATCTTTAGAAACATGAAAGAAAGGAGGGGAGAGAAGGATGTTGTAGCAAGTTATTTCTCCTGAAGTACGTGCCCCAACTTCTGGACAACAGGTACGAGATTCAAGATTGTCTGAAATCAGATGCCACATTAGAGTTACTGTTCTCAAAAACAATCTCCTCATTTGGAAGTTTATCGGTTGTCAGCTCCTCAGGGGACTGCAGAGCAGGTCAAGCAATCTGCACTGCCCTGACTTTTCGAGTCTGAAACACCTGATGTTGGTTTTACAGATTCTGCTAGGAGAGGGATTCACAGCATGCAGTCACAGCCAAAGAAAGAAAAACAAATCAGGAACGTAAGAAAACTTTTCCTCTTGGATTAGGACAAAGCAGTACAGGAAGATCAGACAGCTCTATATGAGAAACCAGTACTCACAGCAAAAAGCGCAGGACCCATGTATGTCTCCATATACTGATAATAAAGGGACATTATCTTCACCAAATTCTGTAAGGCAGCCACTCGTACCTGTCAGAGTAGAAAACAGATGAAAGACGTGACCTTTCTGAGTGCTTTGAAAACCACAGTTGTAGCCTACACCACAGATTAATAACCCAGCCTTGCTGCTGATTTAGTTTACTCCATACCCAATACAGTCTTCCACAAGTCGTGACCTATATACTCCTAGTAGTTTACTACTTACTTCTAACTTTAAGTACATAACTCATTTTGTTTGAGTATTTTTACATGTGCACAAACCATTTAACATAACACTATCTCATGTACCACTTTTCAACTGTTTGTTGATGCCAGAGGTTATAGCCAGCTTCCCCAGAAAGGTGGAGTGGCAAATCAAGAATTTAATTTCACTCACCCTTGTATCTGGACACTGCGTTGCTTCACAGACTACTTGCATAATAAAGTGCCTTTCGGACTAGAAGAGAAATAAAAGAACATTAGAACTGCCTTACAACAGCTTTAAGGTCTTTGCAAGCGTTCCTATGGAGGATGCATTTTGAGTCTGGACTAGTACAATCACTTATGCAGCACTTCTCTTTAGAAGTCTAGGTTACTATTTGCTGCAGTATTTTAAACCATTTTTTCACCAAAATGGGAATCCCAAGCTTCCATTTTAAAAAGCGCTTAACAGGCTGTCCAGAATAGAAAGATACAGCAGAACTAAAGACATTAGCTTTACGGGGGGAAGAAGAAAAAAATCCTGCTGTTTCCTGAACTATTTCAGCAATTGCTTCAAGAAACACCAAAACTCAGCCAAGACATAAAATTTCTTGAGGGGTAGTACCTGGATACTTGCATTTTAGTAGGAAGGAACATACTTTCGCCCAGGCTATTTACAGTACTGAAGCCCAACAGAAATACAGACCAAATGGATCACGCACCCCCTATCTCAAATTCTGAAAGACTCTAGCTGATCCCCATCAACATCCACTGAATAGTTGAATAGGGAAAGGTCTCATTAAAAGACCTTCAATATTAATTCCATCTTCCCCATACTCTCCCTGGTAGAGACCTGGAGGATAGACTTAATCCAGGAAAAGAAAAATCAATAATTTCTTTGAAAAGACTCTCATTCTGAGGCCCTTATTCTGAAGACTCTTACAGGCCTTCCTCCCCCAACAATTTTCAGAGGCAAAGTTAAATCTGGATTGCTGCCACGCCACTTGAAAGAAAGTGCTGATCCAAGCTTGTACTCTTACAGCAGCACTATAGAGTAGAGTTTGATTAGGAAGCAGAGCATCTAATAGGCTAAACTCTAAGGTCAGTTCAAATTTATCCAAAAAAAAGTCAATGATGCTTCCTTTCCATTGATGAATCTCTGAAGATTTCTGTATTTCAACAACAGTGTTTCTGCATTACAACAAGAACATACCGGATTTACAGCAATGAATCCAAGTCTCAGTTGCAACATAATTATGCATCAAAACTCAGCGTGGTGCATGATTTCTCATCACAGACCGTGGATTCAGCCCTTGCATTTTAGGTCAAGAATTGTTACCCCCTCACCTCTTTGTCAAAGTTTGCTTTGGTGAATTCCAAAGAGTTCAGGAGTGCATTAGTAGCTGCTAGCTTCACATTGTTGCTGGGCTCTTCCTTTCTCATTCCCTGGATGATGGCTGTCAGGATCTCATTGGATTTGTCCTGAAGCTGCTCTGGATCCTAAAAGAAGGGTTGATAAAGGTATTTTCCAGCTGAACAGCTTTCTCCATACTTTGAAGTATCCTCTAAGTTTGATCCTGAAATCTACAAGTAGAAGTTTTACAACATGAAGGCCGAGACACCCTCTGTTCACTGGGAGGACCAGAATGCAAGTATGAGGAATTCGTACACCATTAAGGCTTTACAGCTTCTGGGACAGGAAAGAGAAGACTGAACTGAGACCAAATACTCCAGATACTCAAGTCTTAAATGTCAAATAAACTTCACCTTTTCAAATAATAGGCCAACAAGCTTCAGACTACTTCATTCAATTAGCAAGTAAAAAATTTCCAATTCCTTTATGTACTGGGCAGAGGTTTACACCAGAAGTTGTGGTTGAGACTTTTACTGATGAAGTTGCCAAGCTTTTATAGATGTAAGGCAAAAATAAATTGTCTGAACCAGTAGCAAGGACAGGCAACTGTTAAGCAGTCAAGGCTTAGAGAATAAAACTGTGAACGCAGACTACAGATTAATTTTAATTTGTGGCAAATTTAAAGACTGCAAGATCCCCAAGTAACAGTATTAATTGCTACATTGGAATCTATCCAGCAGTAGATTCCCAAACTATGGTCACAAACTGTGTCACAATGTGACTGCAAACTACAAAACTCTAAGAGGGATCTTGGTTACAACATACTCAACTGGCAAGCCAGGGCATCTGAAAATCCAGAGGTCAACAATACACACCACCCAAAGAAACACATTCAAGCCTTGCAGGGACTTGACACAACCAACACTTGACCTGGAACACCCCCCTGTACAGCTCTAGATTTCCTCTTTTATTTCATTGACCCTCCACGAGGCAACCAACCTTCCCAGTGAAACCAGTGAATCCCCTACAGCTTGATGAAAGCACCAACGATTTCTCCTTCCACCTCACTACCATAGAATGGTTTGGGTTGGAAAGAATATTAAAGCCCCCCCCCCAGTGCCCCCCCCTGCCCCGGGCAGGGCCCCCTTCCCCCAGCCCAGGGGGCTCCCAGCCCCGTCCAACCTGGCCTTGAACCCTTCCAGGGAGGGGGCACCCACAGCTGCTCTGGGCACCCTGGGCCAGCGCCTCACCCCCTGCACAGGGAAGGATTTCTGCCTTAAATCAAATCTAAATCTCCCCTCTTGCAATTTAAAACTGTCACCCCTCATCCTACCCCCACCCCCTGACCCAGAGTCCCTCCCCACCTCTCCTGCCCCCCCTTTAAGCCCTGGGAGGCCCCTCTCAGGGTCCCCCCGGAGCCTTCTCTTCTCCAGGCTGAACCCCCCCAACTCTCTCAGCCCGGCCCCCCAGGGGAGCTGCTCCAGCCCCCCCAGCATCTCCGTGGCCTCCTCTGGCCCCGCTCGAGCAGCTCCGTGTCCTTCTGCTGTTGGGGGCCCCCGAGCTGGCCCCAGCACTGCAGGGGGGTCTCCCCAGAGCGGAGCAGAGGGGGAGAATCCCCTCCCTGGCCCTGCTGCCCCCCCTGCTCTGGCTGCAGCCCAGGGCACGGGTGGGTTCTGGGCTGTGAGCACACGGTGCTGCCCCACGGGCAGTTTTCCCCCCACCAGCCCCTCTCCTCGGGGCTGCTCTCCAGCCACCCCTCGCCCAGCCTGGATTAGTGCTGGGGATCGCCCCGACCCACGGGCACGGACCTTGCCCTTGGCCTTGTTGAACTCCATGAGGTTTGCACAGGCCCACTTCTAGAGCCTGGCCAGGTCCCTCTGGATGCCACCCCTGCCCTCCATCATGACCCCGTACCACACAGCCCCGTGTCACTGGTGATCTTGCTGAGGGTGTGCTCCATCCCACTGCCCACATCACCAAAAAAGATGTTAAAGAATAGAGGTCCTGACACGGACCCCTGAGGTTCAACCAGCAATATGCCACACACACACGCTCCAAGGGATTGGGTGGCACCAAAACACCAGCATCTAATTTTGTTTTTCAGCGGTAGGTCAGACAGCACACAGGGTTTTTGCAAGCAATTCACATCAGATACTTGATGCAACACACCGTGATACTACAAACTACACTGATAAAGCAGTGAGACCTTTTGTAGAAGGCGCCTGAAAGAGCTAAACATTCTTGCCCGGGCATCAAAAAATTCCTAAATTAAGAATAAAGGGACTCCTCATGCAAGATGAAGGTAGTTGTCAGGTTTCCCCAACACGGAAAGGGATCAAACACTTATCACCCATCTGTAACACTTGACACAACCGGACGTTCAGCTGAAGTTTTAACAGCACCCCTTGGCATCGTATGACCTCAGCAACATAGAGACTCAAATCTGCACCTTAAGAAAGATGACCTGGATTTGTGCTGTGAAAGCAGGTCAGTCCTTTCAGACACCATCCTTGTGTGTTTACTGCCCATCGTTCTGTCAGCAGAGAGACATCCTCCGGACAAGCACTGAAAGCCACAAGGAAGCACTATGGCCTACCAGATACAGAGGTGTGACAAAGGAAAGGCTGGAAGAGGAGAGGTGCTGGAGAGAGGGGCCTGCATTTCAAATACACTGAAAATACACTCACGAAAATTTAAAATATTACTTAAAACACACACATGGTAATACTTAAAATACACTCACGATATCCTGACAGATGTATCCAATGGCCTCCAGCGTCGACTCTTTCATGTGCTCCGTGCTGTGCTGATTCGTAACGTTCGCTACCAACTGGGGAATGAGTTCGGGCCACTGGTTCATGGGGATCTCGGCACATGCGATGCCAGCCACGCACTGAGAGGCTGAGCTGGGCCTGTACGTTTCTGTACCCAGCGTCTGCAAAACCTGCGAGAGAGATTAGCAGGAGATGGTTTGATGTCAGGGACCAAAGAGAGACGGGCGCTGGCTCGCCACCGAAGCCTTCACTTGATGTTATTCCCTTCCCAATAAAGCACTTCGCTTGTTCTGCTTTCTCCCGCTGCAAACGAGGCCACGACCATGGACAAATCATGTTGGAAATGAACTTGGCCATGGCTGCCCCTTTCAGGAAGTGAGATACAGCTGTGTGATTACACATACTTCTACCACATCCTTTAAATCCCATACACAATGCTATGCGCCATAACGCGCAACAATGACTCACTGAACAATTCCTCCCCGCTTGTATTATAAAGCAAAATTGCGAAAGCTAAACAAACTGTGGTTCAAAAATTCCCCCCAAATGCCAGACCGTTTATGCCAAGATAATCAGAATAGGACTGAATAATTTTCTCTCACTTTAATTGCACTCAATCAGAAGAATCATTTTTTTGTATACATCAGTACAATTTCTTTAAAAAAAATAAGGGAGGGAGGGATACATGTTGCTTTCGCATTTCCAGTTATACATCTTCATATTCCATATATCCACTTAACAAGTACTGTACTTCTAATGTTACTTGACCAAAAACAGTAATAAACTGGTTTGCTCAGCTTCAGTACACAACAACCTGACAGCTCCTGTTAACAGTGTAAGTTCTCCTTCAGCCATCAAGGTAAATAAAAGACTAAAGTTGTATCGTCACCACTCGTCCAGCCTTATTCTGCTATGCACAGATTCTATTAGCACAAAAACATTATATAAAGTGTATGGCCAATTCGCATCAACTACATAACCCTGTGTACATCCAAGTACACTTTTGCTTCCATTAGCCAAAACCACTAAGCCACCAGTTCCGCCATTGCAAGTCCTGAACCTGAACTATCACAGGAGTCCTCAGGCAAATTCCCCACCTGTGTGAAAATTTAAGAATATAATTTCCCATTTGGAACTTGTAGATTTTTGACGGTATTCTACTCTTAAAATTTGCTAGGCCTCATGTAAACTTGTGTGTTCTGACACAAGATGTTAATTTTACAATGGGTTGTAAAACAGCTGAGGAAGCTGTTCAAGGATAAGAAAAAGCAAACACCCAGTGGGGAAGCCAAGCCCGTTAGCTCCCACAGTCACATGAGACTATTCAGAGGCTCCTTGTAAAAGTATCTACAGGTGTGAATTTAGAAGTGTTTGGGTTTTTTACCCAAGTAATTCCACAGATTAAATATACTACAAGCAACAAAGTACCCAAACTAGCACAGATGACATTGCTCGTCCCATGAAAGGGAGCAGCCAGCCAACAGAAGCCTCCTCGGGTAGAAAAGGACAGACAAGACCTTCATCTCTCATCCCCCGCCACGAAAAAACAAGAGCTGGAGAACCAAAAGTCACAAAACTTACGTAGTTCTTGACTTCCCTGCGGGCGTTGGCGTCGATCGCGAGCCATCTCTGCTGGTACTGGGCCTTGATGTCGGGGTCCTTGGAAGTCAGGGAGTTCTTGATCTGCAAGCCGGCCGCCACGCGGGCAACTTGGCTGTTGCCAGGGTTTGCCAGCACTCTGGACAGTTCCACCAGGAAGGTCGGCTGGGGAGAGAGGAGGGCTCAGCACCCAGCCCTGCCCGCACCTCCCCACTAACGGGGTGAAAAAAAAAAAAAAAAAAAACAAACCAAAAAACCAAAACCCAACCACCCAGCAAACCAGACCACGACTCAGCAAAGCTCCTTCTCTACCAAGGCAACAGCAAACCGCTGCCACTGCGCAACGACGGCGGCTCTAGCCCGAGATTACGGGTGTTAAGCTGCTAATTACGACCGCTGGAAAGCGATGTAGGTTGGCATTGACTGTTGGGTTGGGGTTTTTTTTTAGCTTACCTGAGAGACTGTTACCTTCCGTACTCCTGCCTGCTTTAAGTATTCCTTTAAACAAGCTACTCAGGTCGTATGCCAAGATATGTATTTTCTGGATGGATATCAAACATGGCAAAGAGTAACCCTCTACTACTTATTTCCTTGCTTCAAGGCAAACACCCAAACTATAATCTAACACAGGAATTGTTAAAATGTGAAACCAGATGCTCCTTTGGTGCATTACAAATAGGTTTAGAAGATTACAAACTTCCTTCTCTGCAATCAAAGGTGCATAGACATATATGAAGATTACCCCCCACAAAAAGTGCATACGTGTGGATAAAAATACCTGACATTCGTGCCACTTGCTTTTAGTGAGAGCGAGTGAGAAGTGCCTCCGCATTTAAATCCTTTCCTGATTTGACAGCTTTACATTTCAGAGACTTCCGCTGTGTACAAGATGCAGCTAAAGTTTCAGCAGCAGAGCTTTTTCATTTCGTTGGCCCTATGAGGCATTTTGCCTACTAAGAAAACCTTTCTAGGAAATAGTGGAAACAGCTGCACCGTGCTCAAAACCCTTTCACACCAAGCAGGATCTTGGTTTTCCTGAAAACACTTAACATACAGCTATACATAAGCCATTTCTAAAAAGATCTCTATAACAGAACTTAAGATACATACAAAGATTTTTAGGGGACCAAAAAAAAACCATTTAAAAAACTAATTTCACTTTCAAAAGTTCACCAGAAACAGAGTAAGTCCAGTATCTTGGACCTCCCATTCTCTACGACCAAGCGTAGCTCTTCAAAAAAAATTTTCGTTGGGCTCTCCAGCACTCTAACATCTGAATTGCAGAACTTGGAAACAAAAATGTAGGACAACTTAAACTCCTGAGTGTAAGCCATTAGAAATACTCTGATATTTTAATGCAAATAACAAAACTCCTAAACACATGAAACCACTTAGCAACCATCGATATCGCTCACTTTTTATACATTGATCTTATTAGAAGTGAAGAACCATTCAAAAAAAACTCACAGGACAGAATAAAAGCGTTCCTGCCACCCTTGAGAAGAAAATGTTATTAAAATTCAAAGGTGAAAAAGCATCCTTGGATTTCTCACTCAAATTTGAAAAAAAAAAAAAAAAAAATTGGTCTTTTCATGGAGCTTTAAGAATAATTCTAGCTAAAAATGAGAAGCATTACATTAAGCTCTCCAGACTCGAGACTCAAAGCAAATGCAGATGCGTACGACCTCAGCTCCCACACCTACAGAAGTGTCAACGAAACCTCAGAAAAGGGTCTAAATTAACTACGGGGAGGAGGAGGGGATGGGGAAGAACAATCCGCCCTGCGGGTTCATCTCCATGACCTAACTGGGAGATCACTTCCAGCTCTGGGTGCTCGGCTGCAGAACCTCTCGCTCGACCCTGCACCTCCCACCCTTTCCCACCTCAACACCTGCAGCTCCTCCACCCACCCCGCACTGCGGTGGGAACGGCCTTCAGCCCCACAGCCTCACTCTCCTGCCCCATCCTCGCGCAAAGCCGAGTCATTAATTGCCCTCGCAGCCTACCTGGAGCTCTTCAACCCCTGTCCTTCCCCAGGCTGGACCATTCCACCTCCCCATCCCGCGCCAGGGTGCAAATTTTTAAGCCCCAGTATAAACTCCGCTTCCTCTGCTCGCTGCCCTGACCTGGCTCGTGCGAGGCGTGAAGCTTAAACTTAACTACCAAAAAATTGGCGCGTCCCTCAGCTCTTTTAAAAGCCCCAACCCCGGGATCACGAGCTGCTCGAGCACATCGCCCCGAAATACTTGGTGGAACACAGCCCAGGAAGCTTCAGCCTAAACGGGGGGATCTTAAGACTTAACAACCAGCGATCCAGAGAATTTTGACTCAAACCCGACATTTAGCGCAAAGGCTACGTCGATTCTCATTCGGAGCAACATCTCGCACACCTTAAAATGGAGCGACCAAAATAAAGACCGTGTGACTCCCCCAGTTTACACCAGTGAAGACCAGTGGGTGCAATGCCTTAAAAAACAAAGGATGCCAGCTTTGCTTGCGGTAACGCCGCGCTCGCGGCAACGACACCGCTGAAACGCCCGGAGCCAACACCCCCCCCCTGCCCCCCCCCCCCCCCCCCCCGAGACGAGCCGCCCTCCAGGAGAGCCCAGCGCCGCCGCAAACCCTTCCCGGCCGAGCAGCTGCGGCACCGCGCCTTGACTAAGCAAAAAAAAATAAAAAATAAAAAAAATAATAAAAAAAAAATCCCCCAAACCCCGATTTCGCGCCCGCCAGTTCGACTTCCTCACACACCCCCCCTCCAAACCCGCCCCCCCCCCCCCCCCCCCCCCCCCGGCTTCAAGCGCACGGCTGAGATGCGGAGTTTGCAGGGTGGGGTGGGTGGGGTTTCCTTTTTTATTTATTTATTTTCCCCTTTTTTATTTTATTTTTAAGGGCGGTCACGGGGATAACTCCAGGCCCACCTCCCCCTTTCCCACCCCCCCACCCCCCCCCCCGCCCTCGCTCCCTTCGCTCGGGGGTGAAGCCCCTGACCTCCCCTGACCCCACCCCGCGGCGGGTGGGCTCCGGTGCTCCCGCCCCGCCGCCCCCCGCCCGTACGGAGGGTTCGAGACCGATCGGGGGGGGGGGGGGGGCGCCGGGAAGGGCCGGGGAGGGGGGGGGGCGGGCGGCGCCCGGGGCAGCGATGGCCGCTCCCGCACATGGCCCGCGGCCGCTCCCGCAAACCGGCACGGCCCCCTCGGCCCGGCGCAGCGTTCCCATTGGCCGGCGAAGCGGGAGAACGCGTTGCTATTGGTTCAACGCGGCGACCGGGCGCGGGCAGGGTAGGTTGCGCTCTATGGCGGTTCGGCCTGGCCGGGCGGGGAAGGGGGGGGGGGGGGAGGGGAGCGCCCGCCACCGGCCCCGGTCCCACCGCCCCCGGCCCCGCCGCTCCCCCCCCCCCCCCCCGCCGCGGGCTCACCAGGTTCTCGATGGCCGCCTGCTCCAGGAACTTCTGCGCCGCCTCAAGCTCGGAGCGGTCTGCGGGAGAAGAAGGAAAGGTGGAGGAGGGAGGGGGTGGGGGGGAACCGGCGTCAGTCAACGGGCGCGCAGCGGCCCAACGGCCCCGGTCCCTCAGGCGCTGCCCGCGAGGCCTCCCCCCGCCCCGCCGCCCTTCCCCGCCGCCGCCCACGCCCTCCCGGGACCGGCAGCCGCCGCCTCCCGGCTGCGCGGCCCCCACCGGGCCTACCCGCCGCCCGCCCTCAGGGCCGCCGCCCGCGCCCTACCCGGCGAGACCGTCTTCTCCAGGATGGTGATGAGCTCCATGGCGGCGGCGTGGCGGCTGCGGCGCCGGCGGGAGAAGGGAAGGGAGGGAAGGGGGAGGGAGGGAGGAGGGGAAGGGGAGGTGGGGGGGGTGGGGGGGTGGGGGGGTGGGGGGAAGCGGGGCGGGCCGGGAAGGGAAGAACGCCGGGGCCGGCCCCGCGGTGGCGGCGGGGGTGGAGGCGGGTGGGGAGCGGTTGGCGGCGGGTCCCGGTGCTGCTGCGGAGGGAGAAAAAGGTCCGGGGGAGCGGGGCCAGCCGCGCGCGCGCGCGCGCACACACACACAGAACACACAGACACACACAGCCCGGACCGCACCACACACCCCGGGCGGAGGGATACCAGCCGCCGAACCCCGCCGCCCCGCGCCCCCGCGCTGATTGGCCGGCGGCTCTCCAGCGGCGCGCTCTGCCATTGGCGGTGGGGCGGGGCGGGGCGCGGTCATTGGCGGGTAACGGCGGGGGCGGGGCTTCCGGCGGCGCGCGCGCGCCGCGATTGGGCGGTGCCGGGAAGGGCGCCCCGGCCGCCGGGGTTGGGGGGGGGGGGGGGCGGCCACGTGGGGGTCCGGTACCGGTCACGTGGGGGTCTTGGTACCGGTTACCGGCGCCGCCCGTAACAGCCGCGGGGAACCCCCTCCTGCCCCACCCCTCCAACCGGAACCGGCCCGGGGAAAGCCACGTGCTGGGAGCGGAGCCGGGGGAGGGCGGGGGGGGAACCGGCCTTCGCCTTGGAGCTGCCGCCGGTTTAACGGGGAGCGGCGGGGGGAGATACAACGCGACTTCGCGGGTGCCGCGGCCCCGGAGAACCGCGCTGAGCCGGCAAAGCGGTGCCGGTAGCGGCAGGGCAGAGCCCCCGCACCGGCGGCACCGGCCCTCGTGCAGCCCCGTGTCCGTGTGTCCGTCCATACCTCCCCCTGCGGGGCTCAAGGCGGGGGCAGTGGGGTTCCTTCTGCACCCCCGGCTGGCCCGAGCAAAGGGGTGACACGGGCGTGGGGGGCGGGCACAAAGCTATGGGGTGTGGTGTAGTATGGGAAAAAAAAAATACAAATACTTGAGGAAAAAAAAATGAAAAATTAATACCTGAGGAAAAGGGCAGAACAAAGGTGTAGCTCTGAATAATTAAAGCCAGGTAAAGGCACTGTATGTGACTTGCAGGGCTTCAGCTTGCTCAGCGGGAGAGAGCAATTAGTAACTCAATCAGGCAGCGCTGTGGGACCAAGTAATGACCAAGGCCGCAGGGAGAAGGGACAGCCATGACCCCCAGCCCCCACCTGCTGCCGCTCTGCCCTGGCACTCACACTTGTTTGATTAATCATCCTTCGCTCTCAATATATTTTTGGTTTCCTGGGGGAAAGGGACACGCTCCAGAAATGGGATCTGACGGAAGGCAGCCGGCTCTGGGCGGATAAATGAGGGAAAGGGGCAAGTTTAGCTGAGCACAGGAGGGTGGGAGGAAAACTCTTTTGAGTTGCGAAGATTTGGGAATAGCTGAGAGCATCGGACGGGCTGTGGTGACAAGTCACGTTCCTGCACGGCGCGGCGAGTTAGAAGACACACCTTTATTTCAGCTGCAAACAACTGCAGTTACCAACCAGCGGCAGGGAAGGGACGTCAGGCCCCGGCACCACCTCACCTTCCCGCTTCAGGGGCTCCGGGACCATCTCCAGCCCAGGACAGGCGGAGGTGGAGCAGCTTCCCGAGGCCACCACCATCCTCACCACTTCCTCCCAGGGCCTGACAGCCCAGGCAGCTTCTCTCCCCCATCCCCCTGAACATGGAAGATTGGGGAAAAGCAGTCTAACTTATCCTCGATGTCTCCAGGCCTTCCCGTCCCACCCCACTAATGTTTCTCCCCACAAACACAAGCTGTTGCCTGAGGAAAGGCTTCTGCTGGAGAGCGAAGCAAGTGCTGGCCCTTGAGGACTGGTTTTACTCATGGCTGAGGAAAACTGGACTCACCCACAACTGTGCCAAACAAAAAAAGATTCATCATTCCCCTGAAGAAATTCAGGTTACAGGGACAGACCAATACATGAGGGCTCAGGAGATTTAGATCCTGTCCCTTACATTGCCAGTGACCTGCAGGGCGATCTCTGAAAACTTCTTTTGTCTACCTGTGCCTCGAGCCTCACATTTTAAAACGGGGACGAATCCCAATCAGCATCTTTGGTAAAGTGCTTTGAGACCTCCGGATGAGGAGTACCAAGTATCACACCAGTGGGTTCAGTGCAGTCACACGCAGGGCTAAAACACATCCAGACACCGGGATTTGAATTCTGAATTCCTGCTGGCATCATCTTGTTGCGCGTTCTGACGGTGTCTCGCCTGCATCTGTCTCGGCCGCTCCAGCTGGAAAAACAAAGCTGAGACCAACCTCCGGAAGGTGGACGGGGACTGCGTTCGCTGGCGACCGCAAAGCTCGGAGATCTGAGAGAAAGGGACAGCGAGGGGGCGCGGGATGCGGGGGCACGGACGGCGGGACCACAGCCCGCGGGAGGAGAGAGGGGTGCTGCTCCCTGGTAAATCTGCACCAGCCGAGGAGTCTGGAGGGGCAGAGTTGTAAACACTTCACATCGCTGACTCGTTTAAGACCAATTACTATTTACAGCTTGACTCACGGAACAGAACGGACACGTTATTTGGCCTGGAGGAACGGAGTTCGCTTTGCGTGCAGCCCTCTTCACCACTCTGCAGTACCTGCTAGCGCATCAAAGTCAACTCGCTGAGCAGCATTTGGGTTGAAAGCGGGTGAAATTCACTCCCTGGTGGCTAAACCCCGGCGGGGAGGAGGGACAGGACAGGAACGGAGGAGCCTGCCACACGGCTGCAGTTTGCTGCTTGGGGTTAGCTGAGCACGGTCCTGCTCCAACACGCTTCCCCGGTCCCCTCCCCAGCCCTAAGCTCTCCGACACCACCCAGGAGCGCACGGAGCTTCGCCAAGCGCAGAGTCACACACCAGGGTGACCTTCCTCAGGGGACTGCTGCCGTAGGAAAGCCAGGGAGGGAGAGGAGGATTAAAGAATTTTGTACAAATCTGCCCTTAGTAGCAATGAAAGCCCAAAAACCCAGTGTGAAAATCAGGATAAGTGAGACTGTGGAGTCAGCACCCCCTGGTAGTGCTTGGGCTGGAGCTGTAAACTTGAACTAGATGCACTGTTTTCCTCCTCATTGCCATAAATGGCATACTCAGCATTCACATTGCAGAGCCTTATATCATCTCTTGCTTTCCTAAACTGAGTACAGAAACTGGGAAAGAAATGCTGAAAAGCTGCTGACTCTAGAGATGGGGTACTTGGGGTTATTTTGGCAAGCGAAAAGGTTAGAACAAGAACTAGGCCATCAGGTTCCCCTTCGAGTCTATCGAGGCTGGTCAGTACCTTCAGGTTTCTCAGAAAATCCTACCAAAATTCCACAGGCCAGGAACTCTGTAAGTTTGTTTATATCCAGAGCTTGGAGTTCAGTGGAAACCTCTAAGAAAGCACCGCAAGTGACGCCGAGTTTAGATGACGACGGGTTTAAGAAGTTAACACAGGAATCCAGAATGAGGTTATTTACACAGACGAGCACGTGCACTGAAAGGACAACGCACGCCCCAGGTGCAGCCCCTTGCTCTGTAGGAAGCAAAACGTCCAAGGCTGCTTAACAGGCAACATTTCTCTAACCTTGAATTGCAGCAACGTGGTGCATTTCTGTGCGCTCCGTCTCACCTTGCTGAGCAGCCCAAAGGCTGACTTATGTACTGCACAGAGAAGATGCATTTTCCTAAGTCAGGTGATGAAATCCCTTTTTTTTTTTTTTAAAAAAAAAAAACAAAACCAAAACCAAAACTGGATGAAATTCAGCCAGCACAGATGATTAAGTTACACAAGGCTGAGCAGAGACACTCACCTGGTCTTCCTTGCTTAGAGGAAATTATTTCCAAGCACTTTGATTATGTTCAGTCTTAAAATAATCTCACTTTTCTTTTCTGGTTTGCGTCCCTGTAAAAGAAAAGTTAATGAGTCCACAACATCAACTCAGTGAAAAAGATGACGGTGGAGCACAGCACACTATCCTCTTTGGCTCTGAGTTTTGGCACATACGTGTATTTTCCCCACACATTTTCACTTGAACACGAACAATTTTAACCTTAAACCACAAATTTAGCACAGCCAATCGAGCTCTCCTGTGATTGAAGGCTGAAAGAGCCCATGTGGAGCTCACTGAGCCAGCCCCTGCTCAGCCTGAGTTTCGATGGCTTGTTACTGCCTGGCCCTGCCTTCGCTGGGGTGGAAGGACGCTGCTGGTGACATCGCCACGGAAGGACAAGCCACCCCTGATCCTCCCTCACTCTCCAGAGGCTGCTTGGCCATCGGAGAAGGTTTCGCTCAGGGCGGTCCCAATCCTGCAGCTGCCGTGAGCCTTGGTCTGATCCCGGTGGCCGAGGGTCAATTATCCATCGCCTGGCACAGAGCATTTTCACTCCTACATGTATTTAGCAGGGGTTCAGGTACCTTTAAGAGAACACGGGTGTAAAGTCTCTGAAACCCAGCGATAGAACGGCTAATCCCAGGGACAGACAATGGCGGGTAACACCGAGACCTCCCTGCATCTCATGACCCTGTACAGAAACAAGTAGGTAGACATTAGAGAAGAATTTGGGAAGTTTAGGGTTTTGCTGGTTTTTTAGTTGTTTTTCAAAGGGTTCACGAGCTTGGTTTTTTTGCCGTACCCCACTTATTTTTATTATAATTTAAAACACGGAGCGTATTCTTGACGCGCGTATGTTTGCAGAAAGAGCCTGGCATTTCACGAAGCAAATAATGTCTTTCCAGATGCTGCAGTTCCACTTACGCTAGAGAAAAATTTGGTCCAAAATCTGGCTATTTTTGGAGAGCAAACCAGATTCTAAAACTTTCTTTCCTAGTTAATTCCACATCTGCCTGGCAAGCTCGTGTTTTTTTTCCTGACAGATTAAATATTATTCTATCTCATGTGTAAGAGTCTTGCAAATATCAAAGCAATGACTATATATAGGAATGTATATTTTTTGTTATTACAAAACTCGCCTTTCCCAAATTGCTTTGGCGAGTTCGTACTTGCGATTATTATTTTGAAATGGAGGGGACACTTTCTGAGCAAACCTGGCTGTGTCAGCAGCAGGACTGGATCTGCGTCAGCACCAGCGGGGCAGGAGGCCACCAGTCCTCCACCCACCAGCAGCATTCCTAAAACCAATTCAAAAAACCTCAATTGCCAGCTTATTTGAAGTTCAGCAGTTCGGTGTCACGGGGCCAAACGCGGTGCAGGTGCCTGACCATTCCATACTGGCTCAGTATCAAACTGGCTTCATATCAGCTTCCAGTCACAACCAACACCGACTGGATTTCAGC